GCCCCGCCCACCCCCGCCTGCCCCGCCCGCCCTGGCCTGCCCCGCCCACCCGCCTGCCCCGCCCACCGCCCCATGCGCCCTTCGCCCCGAGGAGGGTGGCCGCCCGAGCGGCGCCCTTGCCCCGCCCGCCAAAGGCCCGCCCGCCCCCGCCAAAGGCTCGCCCGCCTCCGCGGCCGCGCGCGGTGTGGACGAGGGCGCGCGGCTCGCCTTCGTCCACTTCTTCGCCTCCCTCCTCCGCGACTTGCCGCGCGCGCGAGAGGCGGGCGCGGCGGCGGCCGCCAGCGCCGGCGACGAGGCGGAGGCGCTCGACTGCCAGCGCACCGCCTTTGTCGACATGGCCGAGCCGCGTGCGAGGCCGTTTGTGTCCGAGTTTGCGCAGACGCAGATGTTTGCGCAGCACGTGCTTGCGGGGAGGGCGCCCCCGGCCTTTCAGGAGCGGGGAGTCGGCGCGGCGATGCAGCTGGCGGAGGCTGACGCGCGCTCCTCCCCCCGGCGTCCGCAGGAGTGCTCCGACGCCTTTTTGGCGGAGCGCGTCGCCTCCCTCTCCACCTCGCGCCGCACTCCGGCGACCACCGCCGAAGACCTCTCTCTCTCGATGGCGGCGCGTCTCGAGGCGCGGATGGGGGGCAAGAAGTCCGCGGCCGCGCAGCCCGAGCGCCCCGCGCAGGTGCGTCCCACCCACCTGACCGCCGTTGCACCTGCAGGTCTGCGCTCGGAGGAGCGATGGGATCCGCTGCCGCCGCCACTGCCGCCGCTGCCGCCGCGGCGGGGGAGGCGGGCGGCAAGGACGCGGCACCGGCGGCACCGGGAGCGTGTGCCGCCTTTCCCAAGGGGTTGCACTCGGTGCCTCCGCCGCAGTCGGCGGCGGCCCCTCCCCCGACGGGCTTCTCCTACCCCGACGGACCGCCGCGCAGCTTCCCCGAGAGCCTAGCGCCGGTGCTTGCTCCCTCGATCTGCCAGCAGCGTGCCCGCCCACTTTCGCCCGCCCGCGCCGCGCAATACCGCCACCGATCCTCCGATGCGATCAGGTGTCGTCTCCGCTGCCACGCCTCAAGGGGGAGCCGCCGCCTCCGCCGCCCGCTGTCTCTGCGGAGACGCGCCGCGCGTGGGCGGAGGTGCACCGATCTCGTTAGAGGAGGGCCGTGGAGAGCATCTCCTCACGCTGGCGTCTGTGGACGAATAGGCTTTGCGTTCCCTCGAGGCGCACGCTGAGCAAAGGCAGACAGGCCAAAAGATCGGAGCGTCGGTGAGCGCCGTGGTGGGCGGCGCGCTGCTTGCCGCACCCGCCGTCGGATGTCAGGTGCAGTGAGGGCGAGACCGCGGACCAACACTCTCGACGCAATGCCAATATAATCAACGTTCTTGCGTGTTGATAAGGTGCAGTGGCCGTTGGACCGTTTGTATACTCAGCGAATCAAGAAATTATTCCACGCTTGTACTCTTCCTCTAAGCTCTATCTCTTCTCACTCCCGACTGCTCTCTGTGCATGTCTTTGTGACTGCGGACTCAGAGGAGTATTCAGTGCGAGAGTGTCTCGCGGCCAGTCTCTGCTCAGTGCTCTCTGACTCGCTGACTCGCTCTCGCGGGGGTCTCTCGCGTCTCTCGCGTCTCGGCTCTCGCGCTCTCCGCACTCGCGGTCCGGCCCGGGGCCATGTGCGCGCGCTCTTCGTATCGAGATCGAGCACGCGGTTACTGTTTCACTTGCCTGCCCTTGGCCTTGCGAGCGGCGCGCGCCTTCGGCTGGGGCTGGGGCTGGGGCTGGGGCTCCTGCGGCTGCGGATGCGATTGGGATTGCGGTTGCGGAGACGACCTCAGCGGCCGTGGGTGCACGTCCACAGATTGGCCCGTGGTATGACAGTAGCAAACGCGCATCTTGTTCTGTGAAGTTTGCGCCTTGCAGTTGTAAGTTCCATGCGTGCGTGTGCTCTTGGATGTTGCACACCACCCAGTCTCGTCCATGACCGGAGTATCTGGAGCGTCACCCCACTTCGTGTCACAGCGGTCCGGGTCAATTTTCGAGCCCAGATGACTCAGGCCTGCCGTCATCATGACACCTTTGCTGGTGTTGACATCGCCATTGTGTGCTGCAAGCATGTCTTCGGTGCAAACCAAGCCGTGCGCTTTGCAAGTTGCCGTGCAGCTCTGCGCAAAGGACCCGACGTACCATCCAGAACGCTGCACCTGCGGCGTGCCTTGGGCGCTTGACGCCATGCTGCCACTTCGCTCTTGATCCGCCTTCAAGGCCCGCGCCTTCTCAGCCGCCTCGCGTTGCCGCTGTCTGTCCTCCCTGCCCTGCTTCTTTCCGCGAGCTTGCTCTGCATCTCGAGCGGCTTTGAGTCGTTCCCGCTCCGCCGCGTTTGTTGCACCTCTCTCGGCCCCCTCGGACGTTGGTGCTGGGCTATTGTTTCCCGCAACCGGTGGCCCCGGTTGAACAGCCTGAGCCGGTGCTCGCCGATTGGGCCTCGCTTGCGAGGGCGAACGGGGGCGCTTGGGCACTACCTCTGAAGTGCCTCTCTTCCCACTGCGGGGAAGCGGCGCGCCGTAGTGTGATGTTGGTGTTGGTGACGGCGGCGGCGGCGGCGGCGGCGGCGGCGGCGGCGGCGGCGGCGGCGGCGGCTTGTAAAGAGGAGGTGGTGGCGGCGGCGGCGGCGGCGGCTTGTAAAGAGGAGGTGGCGGTGGTGGCCTGTGAAGAAGTGGTGGTTGTGGCTTGTGCATCCGCCGTCGAACGGGAGCTCCAGACACGGCATGTGGCTTGTCCATCCGCTGCGTCCTGGCCACCTTATCACGGCCACCATTGTGACCTCGTGTGCTACTGCGGCCGTCGTTGATTGTCCCTGTTGGATGACCTCCTCGTGCAGCCGCGCTGCTGCTGGTGCTGCTGGTGCTGCTGGTGCTGCTGGTGCCGCTGCTGCTGCTGCTGCCACGCAGCAACCACGCTTCAGCACGGGCTTGCAGGCCGGGCCGCGCTGGGCTGGCAGCAACAGCAGCACAAACCAACACAAAGCCGAGGCAGAGTGTGGTCATAGAGGGGCAGCGCCTCCTCTCTGGCTCGACCTTTTTGGTTCGGCCCAGCAATGAGCTCCGGCTGTCATTGTCCTCGGGCGGGTCCCCAATCGTGATTCTGTCCGGATCGCCATCGTTTGTGGCCACCAAGGCTCGAGCGTGCACCGGCGTTACGCCTGCAGCAGTGAGATCTTCAAATGTAGCAGCCTTGAGCAGTGCTATAGAGTTGAAGCCGGCCTCAACGAGGGCACTCTCGGCCGATGATACCCCGGCATCGCTCAGGAAGGAGGAGAGCCGTTGGCGTCGTACCTCAGCGCCCGCTCCTAAGAGAAGCTGTGCAACTGCATCCCTGCTGGGACTCCCTGGCTGCGGACCCGGGCTCATGGTCAGCGATGCCGTCAGCCCGAGACCCCGGCCGCCGGACGAGCCCGCGAGACACGCAACGCGAGACACACGCAATGGTCGAACGAAGTTTCACGGGGCCAGTCCCCGTGAACCTTCTTTTCTACCAGGCTAGGATTGAGAGCAGCCTCGCTCTCAATCCTAGAAGTCGAAGGATTGTGAGCAGCACTCCTCGCAATCGTAGCATCTCTGTGCGATTGTGAGCACACCCACGCTCGCAATCCTACATACATCTTCTAGGACTAAGAGCAGGCAGCTCCGCTCCCAAGCAAGGTGACTGGTGACGCCTCGTACGACTACTACCAGCGCGCTCGCAATCCGAGCAAAGTCTAGGGTTGCGAGCAGCTTAGCTCACAATCCTGGCAACATGCCTCCGATTGCGAGCAGGAGCGCTCGCAATCCTACATCTTGTAGGACTCTGAGCGGCGGTGCTCACAATCGTACCAAAGATCCAAGGATTGCTAGCACAGTCACAGAGCGACAGAGGGCGCTCCCAATCGCTCCAGCCGCGAGCGCTTGTGAGTGAGCGCGCCGGGAGGGTCTCCTCACAATCCAAACAGTGATCGCACCGATTGCGAGGGGACCCGCTCGCAATCCTAGAAGTCGTAGGACTGTGGGCGGTGTCGCTCGATCCCCTGTACCGTGTTTGTTATATGACCCCCCCCCCATTGAACACCCCAGTGAGGGAGGGCGAGACGATCGAGGGGTCCCGTACCACGCGGAATCGACCCTATCCAGTGCTCAAGTGCTCAAGTCCAGACCAGCGACGAGGGGTGGGGCTTGGGTGGTGAGAGAGAGAGAGAGAGAGATAGAGAAAGAGGCGGGGGGGGGTACTTGGGGGGGAGGGGGCGGGAAGGGGGACTGGCGGTGAAGCTTCTTTTCTACCAGGCTAGGATTGAGAGCAGCCTCGCTCTCAATCCTAGAAGTCGAAGGATTGTGAGCAGCACTCCTCGCAATCGTAGCATCTCTGTGCGATTGTGAGCACCCACGCTCGCAATCCTACATCTTCTAGGACTAAGAGCAGCTCCGTTTACAAGGTGACTGGTGACGCCTACGACTACTACCAGCGCGCTCACAATCCGAGCAAACTCTAGGGTTGCGAGCAGCTTGGCTCACAATCCTAGCAACATGCCTCCGATTGCGAGCACTCGCTCGCAATCCTAGAACTTTCGCCGATTACGAGGTGCACGCTGCCGAAGCAGTTATCGTCCCCCCTCTCCTCGACGGTGATGGCGGTGTGACCGATCGAGCTACAAGAGGAGCTTGTTCAGCAGGATCCGGGATAGTCTCGTGCACTACCTCACTGGGCCTGAGATCACCGTACGACAGCATCCCGTCACCGTCTCGGATTCGTGTGGGGTCGAACCACTCCGGGGTGGGCAAGCCCACCACTCGTTACGTGCTGCGTCCCTCCCCGCCTGCGCGCGAGGTGGCGTGGTCACGTGTGCCATATCAACCGTGTGGCGGGCAGGGGAGTGAGGAGGAGCGGAGGAGGGCTCGGACGGGGCGCGTGGCGGGAGAGGGCAGGGAATGGGCGAGGCCGAGGGGGGGGAGGGGGGCTCAGCCGTGCAAAAAGCATCAATTAATGATATTAATGAAGAAATATTGCTCCGCCGTCCATGGAGTCCATCTCGATCTGGAGGAGACGGGTCAACCCCGTGAGGACCAGATCACGTTCACATTGTCGTAGCCGAAGAGGATGTTGACCTTTAGCTCCTGCCAACCCTCCGCTTCAAGGTGGAGTAAATTTCAAAACCAACTTCACAGCAAAATTTCAAAACCAGCTTCACGGCGGTTTGGAGCACTTGGAGTTCAGTTAGTAGCCTCACACACATCCAGGGCCGGGGAGCTGAGAAGCGCACCCAGCGGGCCGGATGATCGGGATCGGGTTGCGGGCAAGAGAGCCCTAGCCCTGGGGGGTGCGCGGTCCAGCGACAATTTGTTTTTCTCTCGGACCCCGACTCTTTCGGCGAGCAGGCGCTCAGAGAGGAGAGCAGCGCTGCAGTCCTGCAGTCGCACACACGCGCGCTTGGGTACGCGCTACGGTGGAACTCGTGACTGTTTAATTGAACAAGGCTGACCCCTACCCCTCTCGGTGGGCTTGCAGGTAGGGGGTTCGGGTAATAAGGTGCATCGGGGTCGGCGGGCGTGAACTGGAGTGATACCGCTTCGGCCGTTCAGTAGCGAACTCCCTTTCCCCTCGACGGCCTTCTGAGATGCCTCGGCTGGGTGTGTGTCTCTGCCGTTCCTTCGTCCGGCTGTTCGTACCTGTTCGTGCGTCAGGTGTGGGTGCGTTTTGGCCAGTGCCGTTCCTGCGTCCGGCTCTGGGAACCCGTTCGTGCGACAGGTGAGTGTTCGTGTGTCGTGTGTGGGATTTCTACCGTTGAGCTGTGCCGTTCCTGTGTCCGGCTATTCGTTCCTGTTCGTGCGGGAGGTGTGTGGGGGGGAGGGGTCTGCCCAGTGCCTGTTTGCTTTAACCCGGTTGAGCCATGGGGGAGTCAGGCAGGAGGAGTTTTGGGCTGAGGGGCCGTGCTTTCCGTTGAAATCGTTCCAGCGTTGTGTGATTTGAAGACGTCTATCACTTTCGTGTGTGGAGTTCGATGGAGCCTGTTTCTTTGCAGAGCTCTCCGAATAGAGCGTAGGTGTCTAGGTGTCTGACAGTGACTGCGGAAAAGGGTAGAATTCTTTGATGCGGAGGCGGAGCGCAGGGCAATTGCGCTTGAGAGGGAGGTGTGGGTTGACGGGGAGTGTCGGGGTGGGCGTCGTAAGGGTGAGGGCGATTGCCGTCCTCCCCCCTTCGCCCACCTCGACGCCTTCTCGTAGGCGCCCACGCGACTGTGTGTGACATTGGTTCAATTGTGTATCGCGCGCCTTGCGGGGGGGGCGCGGAAAAGAGGAACCTCTTAGCGCCATCGCCACGGTGCTGCATGCAGCGCCGGGCGACGACGGCTTACCGCCTCCCGGTCCCCCTCGGCACACCTCCGCTGCTCAATGTTTGACGGCTCGAACCCGTGAAGCTTCCCCGTGCGCGGGTTACCCCGCACACGGGTCAGCCTGCCAGCCACGTATCCACGCAAGCGTGGTCCGCGTGCATGGCATACAGGCGTCCGCCAGACAGCGCAGAGGCTAGGCGACCGGGGAAGGACTAGCTCAAGGGCAACACAGCGTCACCAGCCGTTGGCGCGCAGAACGAGTCTGCGGCCCCCGGTTGGGACGAGTGCGCGACGCGGACGAACCGCTCAATGTGGCCGGCAGCTCGCGCTGCCGGCGGGGTTGGTTGGGGAGAACCGGCACGGGGATGGCCGGCCTCCCCGGAGGGGTCGCCCCCTGGAGGGGCCCCAAAGGGCCCCCCGGGGGGGCGGGGGCCCCCGCCCCGAGGGGCGGGGGCGGGTCCTTCCGTGTCGCTCCCCTCGTAAAAAGGGATGCCGCAGGTCGCACCTCATATACTGTGTGCAACCTCGCCGTGAGAACACGTGTGTTACAGACAGGGGCTGGGACCCACCCATGAGAGCGCCGGCCGTTGTGCTTGTTCATCATTCTCAACCCATTTTGCCTCATGGAGCCAGTCGAACCCCGGTCCCAACGAGATTCGAACTGGCAGCCACTCGATGACTTGATGGGTCGCAGTCTCGAACTGCATGTGAGCGCTAAAGGGATGCCGCAGGTCGCACCTCATATTCACTGTTTGCAACCTCGCCGTGTAGATATGTGAATATCTCGGTGACACGTGTGTTACAGACAGGGGCTGGGACCCACCCATGAGAGCGCCGGCCATTGTACTTGTTCACCATTCAATCTTTTGATGTGACGCGGCTCGATTTGGGAGAGAGAGAGATTTTTAGCAATACCAAACAACTCTAACACTCACACGTCATTTGGGGCCTGGAGCCCTGTTCACGCGCGCGCGAGACGTGCAGACAGGGTTGCCAGGTGAGAGCGAATGGCGCGGTTCACGCCTCGCACAACAGAGAGAGAGATGCGCTCTGCATGGTGGGACATAAAAGAGAGCGAGTACTTGGGCGAGTAGGCCGTGCGGTCGACGCTGCCGCGCGCGACTTTGCGCGCGAGGCGGCGCAGCTTGAGAACGGCGGTGGGCGAGAAGCCGCCGCCGAACGTCTCGTGGAGCAGCAGGTTGAAGTTGTTGCGCTTGACAAAGATCGCGTCGTGGTAGAAACCGCGATGCGCCTTGACGTAGCCGTGGCCGTTCTTGTGGTCGAAGGGTTGGCCGGGTTGCCCGCGCGCCTTGCAGCCCATGTTTAGGCGGCGGGCCTTCTCTTCGGTGTTGCCGAAGGCGTAGGAGTGGCCAACGGAGGCGGGCGTGCCGCCGCTCGAGGCGTTGCCAACGCCCGCCGAGGAGGTCTTGAGGAGGGGCGTCCAGAGCTTGACTTCATTCACCTCATCGCATCCTCCCGGGCCAGCGTGGGGTTCCGCGAGGTCGACCTTGTACCCCTCGTTGTACTGCCGGGTGAGCTCTGGTTTCTCCTTGTCGCCGTGCACGACCGGCGCGTTGGCCGGGGCGCGCATCGCGTCCGCCCAGGCGGCGAGGACGCCGTCGTGGGGCCGCCGGTGGTGGGCCTTGTTGTAAAGGTAGTCGCCGAAGAAATCGACTGACATGCCCCGCTCGAGCGCGACCCGAAGGGTGGGAAGCGCCACGGAGAGCCAAAGGCCGAGCTTCCGCTGGAGCTCGTCCTGGAGGGTGTCGGAGGAGAGGGCGGTGGCGTACGTACCGTCGACACGGACATCGAAGGCCTTGCCGGCGAAAGGCGTTGAGGCAGAGACGAAGCGCGCGGCTTCGCGGTTGTTGACGGCGCTGTCTCCGAGGGACGGGTTGTTCTTGACGTGCACATCCCGCGCCTTGACGAGCTCCTGGTGCGCGAACCAGTCCTTGTGATTCTTGATGGCAGCGAGCGCCCGCGGCCGCGGGTACGTGGATTTGCAAGTGCCATTGAGAATCGCGTCGGTAGCTGGAAGGGACTCGGGCTCGGGGAGCGGGACGCTCTTGGGGTAGAACTCAGTCAGGTAGCCGCCGCGGACGGTGTGGTACTTGGTTTTGTCGCGGGCGGCGCGCTTCTCGCACACCTCCTTCCAGTCCGAGAGGGCGGACTCGTAGGTGGCGATAGCTGCGGCGATGGCGGGGTACTTGGACGCACCTGCCTCGTCGAGGGCGAAGTCGGGGTTGTGGGCGACGAGGGTGCGCCAGTTCTTGAGGAGCGACATGGAGAAGTCGCTGTCGGCTCGCGAGAAGGCGGTATCGATGTTGCACCCGCCCATCTCGGTCGGCAGCTGTGCCTGGAGCCACGCGAGGTCGCGGAGCGCCTGGGGCGAGGCGTCGGCGCGAGCAATGCTCTCAAAGGACTTGCGGATGCGGTTGTGCGCAAACTCGAGAGCGTCGCACGCGACATTGGGCGGCGTGATGCCGGCAATGTACTTGGTCTTTGCGCAGGCAATCCGTTGGACGAGGTTGAGGCGGAGCTGCGAGGTGTTCGTGACGCAGTCAGTGTCGACGATCGTGTCGATGACGTCGAGCGGCGCGAGCTTCTTCCTGAGGTGCGCGGTGAGCTCCTTCTTGCAGGCTTCCGGGTCGCCAAAGAAGGTGCCGACGGCCTTGAAGCAGTCCACTCGCCCCGTGGGTTTGCCCTCCTTGTCGCGGTGCGCCGGCGAGCCCCGGAGCCAGCCCGGCGCGCACGAGAGGTCGCCCTCGGGCGAGTAGATGAGCGACTTGCCGACGCCGTCGAAGACGCTCGCTCCCTTCTTCTGCGCCTCGAGGAGGCCCTTTGGTCCGGAGTAGGCGGCGACGGCGCGCAAGGGCTCGTCGTTCTGGCAGATGTCGTCCGCAAAACCGATGAGGCGCATGCTCGGGTTTTCCTGCACGACGTGCCTTCCACCGGGGTATGGTACCCTCGCGGCCCAAAGGGTGGGGGGGTATGGTCCTGACCGCCCATCCCCGGTCTCCGGGAGGCTGGGTCTGTCAGCAGGGGGGGGGGGTATGGTCTCGAGGTGGGTTGCGTGAGACTACCATACCACACCAGAAAGTCCAAACCCGGGGCGGGCAGCGGGCAGCTGCCCCCAGTACGCGCGGGGCTGTCCTGGACGGCGTGGCAGATGTCGTGGAGGAAGCAGACGCTGAGGATGGTGGACAGCGCACGTCCCTGGATGACCCCGCAGGCGGACTTGGCGTAGTTGGGGTCGTTGTAGTCGGGGCACTCGAGGCTGAGTGGGTCCCAATCGGCGGCAGAGAAGTCCAGGTCGTCGCCGTCGGCGGAAGGCAGCCGCAAGGCGCCCTCGGCCTTGACAAGGCGGATGAAGCTGGGCGTGCCCATGATGAGGCGAGCGACGGGTAGGAGGTCAGGGCGTCGCTTGCGGATCCAGTCGAGGAGCTTGACGCGCCCACAGCCGTTGGGGTCAGGCTTGTTGTCGGCCGTGAGCGCCTGGGCGATCGTGTTGTAGAAGTTCTCCTTGTCGCCCGAGATGGTCGATTTGGTGCCGTGAAGTGCTCTCCAGTAGCGGCATCGACGATGGCCTATCGCCCCGCCCGCGAAGGCAATCTCCTCTCCCTCTATATCAACAACCGTGCTGGTGGTCTCATCTTCCATAGAGTGCGTTCTTCCCGCAGATCCGCGCACCTCCACCGCAGCCAACAGCATCCCCCGCCAAAACAGGACTTCAGTCCTAACGCGGCCAAGCTCGACACCAACGAGCAAATGCAGCTGGCGTCGACGTTCAGCGGACTCGCCCTCATCATGGGCCAGCTCGCGCCCAGCCGGCCCTCATCCGGGATGCAGCTGCTCGAGGCGGACGGTGGGCGCACCTCAACAGCAGGACACCCCCGCCGGTCAGCCCCCACCCCGCGCTGTGCTGCCACAGGCTTTCTGTTGCAGTCCTTCGACTCGCCCACTGGCATCAAATTCTTCCTCACGGCGGAGCCCGACGCCAAGGGCCTCGACCTAGTGCTGCGAGAGGTGCGTTGCGAGTGCCTCCGAGAGAGGGCGCGCACTCCCGCCGAGAGAGCACGCGCCCGCAGGTGTACACTTACTATGCTGACTACGTGCTGAAGAACCCGTTCTACGAGATGGACATGCCTATCCAGAAGGGTGGCAAGTTCTGCCAGAAACTCGATCGGATGGTGGCGCAGGTGCAGGATAGAAGGTAGCACGTGGCGTGGCGCACACCGGGACCGGTCCGGTACGGCTCTAGTGACATACATGTTGCATGCACATGCTGTGCATGCACATGTGCATGCACATGTGTAGAGTGCGGGTGAGTGGGCAGAGTCCAGAGAGAGCGCGTGGGTGCACCGACTCTGCTGCGTCCCGAGCACACTACCGTGCGGGACTATGGGACTCTAGGCTCTAGCGCACTGCCGCGCTGTGCGAGAACAACTGGAGGCGCCCGCCCGTGGCCCCGACTGGCGACTCTAGCGTGTCGTGGCGACTGCGGACTGGGACTGCGGTCTGCGGAGAACTAGCAGGTAAACTACTATTGACAATTGAGAGCTAATATGAGCTTGGCGCATGCGTTGTCGTAATTTTTTTCACCGTGTATTCCCTACGTTGCTACGTATTGTGGCGCAGCCACGAGCCCCAGGGTCTCTGGTGTCTGGAGATGTGCGCTGTGGACTAACCGGACCGCACCTCTCCCCTCCATCACGAGCCGCCACACCGCACTGGCGTGCGCTCTCAAGGTTCAGACTACACACCTCTCCCCCATGATAGAGCAAGTTCCACAGCCTCGCCGTGCGCAAAAGTTGAAGCCAAGTTAGTGCATTTTGAGCACATCCTTGAAGGGCATCGAGTCTGGCAGGTCAGAGGGTTTGACGGAGGCGACCGCCTGGTTGCGACGGGCGAGGCTGAGGTGAGGGGCGTGAGTGGGGTGTGTTGCCGAGGCTGAGGTGAGGGGCGTGAGTGGGGTGTGTTGCGTGAGAGAGAGGGATTTTAGGTGTGTCTGTGGCCGCGGCGCACCTTCGCCATGCTCGACGCCACCTCCGCCTCCAGCTCCTTGACCTTCTCCGCTGGCAGCGACTCTTTGAGGCCGGCAAGCACCTGAGGAGGGAAGGGGGTGGAGTTGTTGAGGGGGGAGGGGAAGAGGGGGGTGAAGGGCGCGGCCCGCGTGCGTGCGTGCGTCGCCTTTGTGTTTTGCGACGAGAGGAAGGCGACCGAGTTTGTGATGATGCTCTTCTTCTCCGCCTCGGTCAGCTTATACTCGAGGCCGTCATAGGCGGACGCCTCGCGCCGCTCGAGGAGCTTCACGTTGGTCATAATGTCGTGCACCAGCGTCCCTTCGACCGTGTACTTGCACTGGCTCGGGTCGCGCGCCGCGGCCACCGTCGGCACGACTCCGGTGCAGAGCGGGTCCTTCTCGACGCGGCCGATGATGGACTTGAGCAGCTCGGGCTGCGCTGCGGCGAATGCCTCGTACGTCTCGCGCACCTTGGTCTGCGGGCGAGGCGGGGAGGGGGGCGGGTGGGGGTGAGGGTAGCGGGTCGGAGGGGTTGTTCAGGCCGCCGCCGTCAGAATGCACAGCCGCTGGCCGGCAGAGGAGAGGCAGAGAGGCGGCAGCACGCACCGCCTGGGCCGCAATCGGCTTGAGGCTCTCGGCGAGGTGCGGCGTGAGCGCGAGCCATTTGGCCTCGGCGGCCTTGAGCTTGCCAACCACGTCGCCAGAGGCGACCTCGCCCATGAGGTGCCTGCGCACAGCGTTTCTCAACCTCAGCAGCCACGCAGCAGCGTTGAGGGGGGAGCGTGAAGGCGCATTGGTTCGCACCTCAACGACATAGCTGCCGCACGCGCCGGCCGCAGTCTCCCTGAGAGACAACGCGGGCGTGCCAGGTCAGGCCGACGCAGCGATTGCGCGCGGCCTTTTTGCCGTCTCTTGCACTCGGGGTGTTCTGTGCCAGTGTGCACGCGCAGGCGGCTTGCGCGGCGATGGAGGCGCGGTGGAGCAGCCTGCCCTCCCGCGTGTGGAGGGTCGTGTGGTCGCGCGGCGCGCGGCGGTGCTGCTCTCGGGGCCGTAATAGCTGCCACGGACAGAGACTGCTGTGGAGAGGCGCTGGAGTGTCCCTCGCCGCAACACTTTCGGCGAAAGGAAGAAAACGAGCTCCGCTTGGCCTCACCTCCTCTACAATATTGGGTCTTGGATCTCTCGGAGGCGCCCATCCCGAATCATGGAGCATTCGGCTTCCCCGAGATCACTACACATGGCTCTCCCTCGCCGCACGAGGCGCACCCACCGGCAATACATTTAGGCCCAGCGCACAGGTGCGCCATCCCGCTCAGCCCCGCCTCGGTGTGCGCCGGGCCGCCTCGCCGCGGCCGCGCCCGAGCCCGCAACGTCACAACGGGTGGTACTCTACATCGCGTTGCGGCGTGGCGAGTCCATCGCAGCTACATCACGGTGGAGGCGCCGACGGCGCTGGTGGCGGGGGGAACACGCACAGGTCGCTGTCGCCCAATAGACTGGCATTATAGCCGGCATTTTGGGCCACGTCATCGAACCAGCACCAATAGGTTCCCTTGCACAGCCAAGCGAGCCACCACGGGCAGCTGTCCCAGCCTCCACACCATCGGATCTGCGAGGGTGGGGCCACACACGCCGCACGGTCATCGCGCGAGTGCACCGGCACCGATGGCTGGGTGTGTACCGGAAGCACGGCGCCTGGACGAGCAAATACGAGATGCAGACGCAGAGAGCAAAGTAGATGTAGATGTAGAGCGCGACAAAGGCGATCCGGACCTTGGCCGCAATCGCAGAGGAGCAGCGGTTGATGAGCGACTTGCAGGTGCACTTCTTGGCCTCCTCGCGCGCGGGGTTGGAGAAGGGCGGCATGTCCTGGATGAGCCGCTTGAAGGCCGGGGGCAGGAACACCTGCGTGCGAGGGCGGAGGGCAGTCGTGTTTGGGCTGTGCGACATGCGCCGGTCCCATCGTGGCGGCATGAAAAAGCGGATCACGGCCCCACAAACCTTGTAGGCCAGGGCGGGTATGTCAACGATGAAGACGGCGGCGAGTGAGTTCACAATGAGGTCAAAGTCGTTCCCTGAGCGCACGACCGCTCCCGATCCGGAGATGATGACGATGACCGAGGCGACGAACTTGACCAGGAGCATGATCTGGAAGCCGGTCCGCTCGATGCGCGTGAGGCCGGTGAGCGGTCTCGTGATGGTGAGCGAGATGGCGCCCGCAATTGAGCCGCGCTGTCCGGGGTCCTCCCCGGCGCCAGGCGACAGAGGCACGGCGACGGGGGCGGGCGGGCTGGCCGGAGGGTTGAGCGGCGCGCTGAGGCTCGGGTCGGCCGCAGACACGCGGCTCTTTCGCCTCTGCGTGCGTGCGCGCTCGACGCGCTCCTCTGCCCGCGACGGGCCGGCGTCGTCCGTCGGCAGCCCGCCCGCGCCCTGCGAGCGCCGCTCTGCCGCCCCCCGGTCGCCCTGGGAGCGCCGGTCGCCCTGGGAGCGCCGCGACTCGCCCTGGGAGCGCCGGTCGCCCTGAGAGCGCCGGTCACCGGCGGGCGACGAGGCGGGCGGCGAGGCCGGTGGCGAGGGCGCGTCGACCGGCACGCCGTCGTCGTCGACAGGGTCGACGGAGAGGCGCGAGAGCGGCGCATCCGACGGCGGCTCCTCCTCGGCCGACGGCTGCTGTGGAGCCGGCTTTGGCGCACGGCTCCGGCGAGACTTGCCGACAATGGCCGGGCTGCCAGAGCGGCTGTTTGCGGGGCTGGCAACAGGGCTCACGGCGGGGCTGTTGACGGGCGTAAACTTTGCGCCCGGGAGCACCTTGGTGACGAGGCGCTCCGAGAGCTCGTACGAGCGGAACTTGAGCCGCTTGTGCATCCACTCGCTCGGCATGTTTTGCAACCACTCGTGCATCTCGAAAGTGTTGCCAACGTCGGCAAAGACGACGCAGACAAAGGTGAAGGTGGCCACCCAGCGCATGAGCTGCTCCGTCTCGTCGCAGTTGTCGGCCAGGTCGCCCTCCACCAGCCAGACGGCCCGGTCGAGGTAGATTGCGAACAGGAGCTGCGCGGCGAGCGCCAGCACAAGCACAAAGACGAGCGGCAGGACGCGTGTGACGAGCTCGGGCGGGGTGCCGCGCGTGTCGAGCGTGATGATGATGACCGCGGCATAGATCGACTCTGGCAGGATCCGCTCCTGCAGTCCGGCCTCCACCTTGCGGCCGAGGTGCGGCAGCGAGGTGATAGGGCCTTCGGGGATGAGGCCCTCGAGCTGGTACGCCTCGTCGCGCCGTTCGTCGGTGGTCTTCTTGGGCTTGCGGCAGACGGAGCAGCACGACATTGCGCTCGATGAGAGCGTCGGGCGGCGGCGCTGCTGCCCTACGGCGATGCTCGCGCTCCGAAGACTCCCGCCGGTCCGTCCCGCATGGTAAAATGCGAGGCTTCTTCGTTTGCTGAGGACCCCCCGGGATGCACAACAAATGGTCATGATAAACAAACGCAGATATAATTCCGTTTGTGGTTCTTTAGGGCTTGTTGGCGAGCCAAAATGGTGGTGTCCGAGGCGCTGCGCTAGGCTCAGAGCGAGTTCGCGCTGCGCTACAGTGGGTTGCGGGCATTAAGAAAACGTCGCATTAAGAAACCCTACCAAGAGATTTCCGCAAAAATCTAAGAAACCACGGCGCGCCGCAGGCGCGGCCCCGAGAAAAGGCCAGCCAGACACGAGTCTCGAGTGTGAACGGGAGCGGCCCCAGCTCAAAATTTCTCTTCGCCTGCGGCGCGCGCACTTGTCACTTTCCAAGTCTACGGTGTTCTGAGTGGAGTGGAGATGGAGGCGTGTGTGCGTCTTCCCGTCATCCAGAGAGCCGACTCGGCGGCAGACTCTCTGGCATCGCCCTCGCGGACCGCAGCTAGCAGCTTACCTCTTACCTAAAATCCTTAGGGGGCCGGCTCTGGCCTGAGTGCCGGCCGGAGCTAAGAAACCACGGCGTGGGGTGGGTGAGGGCTGTGGAAAGGCTTAGAAACGGCGGCGTGCCGCCAAATTCTGTTTTCTTAATGCCCGCAACCCACTGTAGGCTCAGACGGCGAGTCCTCCCTCCGTGGCAACCTCTTTCGCTGTGTAAAAGAAAGAAACGGCACACCACCCGACCAGGGATGGGGGGAGGACAGGGTCCCTACCTGCACGAGCAGGATTTCGGAAGGACGATCCGGGACACAGGGGAACGGGATTGGGGAGCGCATCGCGCGACAACAAAGCGCAATCTTTTTTGTCCCACCGGCTGGGCGCCCCCCGGCCGGTGTACCTAGGTAGATGCTGGAGTCAGCAGGGCAGCCTCGAACGCTCGCCTCCGCGGCGTCGGAGCTCCGCTCGCTGCACGAGGCGCTGGCCGAATCGGCGCGGGCGCTCCAGCGGCGGCACGACGAGGTGACGGCACGTGAGGCGGCCGTCGCCTGCCGTGAAGCGGCGGTTGCAGTGGCCGAGAGCAGCGCCGCGCAGCAGCCGCCGGCGCCGGACGAGCCACTTTTGCGCGCTCTCCTGGCAGCTGAGGCTTCTCGCCTCTCTGCGCGTGGCCGCGAGGCGCTCGAGGCACGCGCCGGTGCTCACGTGGAGCGGCTGGAGCGGGTCGCTTCGCTTCTCAAGTCGAGGCACGAGGAGCTCGAGAGGCGGAGGGCAAAGCTTGCCGCCTGCCAGGCTGCCACCTCAGCGCGCCTCTCCGATCCGCGCGCGGCACGGCCTGCGCCAGCGGCACTGCCTCCACCTCCGCCCGCCGCCGCCGCCGACTCTGCCGCCGCTTTGCGGGAAAAGGCGCTGCAAGGTCGGCTAGAACGCAGCCGCGCGCTCGCAACCGCGCTCCTCCTCCCGACGGGGGCGGCGGCACCGCTGGACGGAGCGAGCCTGGACGACGCCGCGTTCGGCGGCGCGGTCGACCTGTGCGTCTCTTTGCCTCTGGACGACCCTGCCGCGGTGGCGGCGTACAAGCTGCTGTGGGGCGCGGCGGGCGGCGGCGCGGCGGGCAGAGGTACGGCCGACGCCGCGGACGCTCCCCCCTCCGGGCCACCTCCGGCGAGGTTGGGCGCGCGGCCGGCGGCGCAGTGGGAGAGGCGGCTCGTGCGCCACTTGTCCGAGAGACTCGCGCCGCAGGCGAGGGCTTCGGAGGGGCGGCGGGAGGCGAGGCCACCTCTGCCCTCTTCAGCGGCCCGTGTCCGGCCATAGGCTAGTGAGGAGACGCGCTCCTCCTCCCTTTCCGTCGCGACGACCGCGACGGCGGTGACCGCTGCTGCGGCCGGGACCGTTCCTGCGGCGGCGCGGGTTCTGCCGGCGCTGCTCCTGCTGCGCCTCTCGCTGCGCCAAGCCGGCGAGGCGGGAGGGGCGGGAGGCGGCGGCAGCGGTACGTTGGTGAGCGATGCTGTGGCGGCGGTGCGGGCGCTGCAGCTCGAGGGAGGGGAGGAGGAGTCTGCTTGCGCGGCTCGCGGCGAGCTGCTGTCGCTCGGACTCGCAGAGCTGGTCGAGGCCGCAGGCTGTGGCCACCCGCCGCTCGCGATGGCGTCGTCCGCCTCTCTCCTCGCGCTGCTCGCCGCGCCACGGCCCGTCGCCGAGGCGGCGGTGGAGGCACTCTGCACGCCGCGTTTCTTCCGGGTCGCAGCCAGGGTGATTTCGCGCGACGGCGCATCGCGCGACGGCGACGAGTCTCTGGCGGCGCGTCTGTGCGTGCTGCTGCAGCGGCTGTCGCTGCGGCCGGCGGCACGCGCGTTCTTCCACGCACCAGAGCTGCGCGGCGCGCTCGTCGGGCTGCAGCACATCGGCCCGAGCGCGCCCTTTCTTACCGCCAACGTCCGGTCGGTGCTGAAGAACACGAAGAGATATCACATTGCGCCACCTACTAGACAGGACACATAGGTTATAGCAAATTTTGGAGTTCACCGCCGGCTTCCGCTCGAGCTCTCTGGCCTTTTTGTGTACGGACAGATGTCAAAAACGAAACCACCACGAGTCCACACATACAGACATGAGACGAGCCCACCCTGATCAGTGATCATGCTGAAGCGGACCACCTCGAGGCACCACCGGAGCCAGCGGGGAGCTGCGTCACGTCGCCCGCGACCCTGCCGTCGGCGAGCTCGTCGACGACGCACTGGGGCGGGAGGACCACCTGGGCAAAGGCGGCACCCGCCCGCTCGAGGCCGTCCTGCACCGCCACCGCGCCGACGAGCGCCTCGAGCACGTCGGCCAGCACCTTGGTGCTCTCGTCGGGCAAGCTGGCGGCGAGGTCGAGCCGAAACGCCTCTTCGTCGCCCAGCTGGAGCTGGTCCTGCTCCGCCATCGAACGCTGCACCTCGTCGCGCGCAAGCCGGAGCTTGCTCGTCAGCCAGGAGCCGTCTGTGCCGACGACGCGCGAGATCCGGCGCGCGAGGAATTCGTTCCTCTCCATCGCGATGCGAGCCGCCGCCCGCACGCCGCGCTCGGTCGAGCCGGGCAGCGACTCGAGGAGGTGGAGCGAGTGGAGGACGCGGAGGACGCCGTCACCGACGAACTCGAGCGACTGCCCCTCCCACTCGCGCGAGGCGGCCGAGGCGAACAGGCCCGGCTCGCTCGGCCACGGGAGGGAGAGGAGGTCGACCTAGGGTTGGGGTTAGGGTTGGGGTGAGGGTGAGGGTCAGGGTTAGGCCACGGGAGGGAGAGGAGGTCGACCCAGGGTTGGGGTTAGGGTTGGGGTGAGGGTGAGGGCGAGGGTTAGGCCACGGGAGGGAGAGGAGGTCGACCCAGACGCGGACGGGGCCCGGCCGGCGAGCGACGAGGCGCGGGCGGAGCACGGCGAGCGCCTCGCCCCACCCTTCTGCCACGCTGCCCTCGCCGCGCAGCACGACGCGCGAGCAGAGGCGCCACGCGTCCTCCATCGCGCGGTCGACGCCGTGCGCCGCCAGGCTGTGGAGGAAGACGGCGCCGATGACCGCCTCGCCAACCTCCTTCTGCGTCTCGGGGCTCGCCCCCCCTCGCGTGATGCCGCTCTCGCCGGCCCACGGCTGCAGGAAGAGCGCCTTCTCCCACCCGCGCGACCGCACCCGCCCCGCCAGCCAGCTGGTGCCGAGCCAGCGGTAGTAGTGCGGGGAGAAGACCTGCTGCGCCCGCCGCGGCGGCGCGCCGAGGGCGAGGACGGCGGCCACCTTGCAGCAGAGGCCCAAGACCGCGTTGCCCACCCAAGCGGACATCTCGTTGGACCCCTCCCCGCCGCCGCCGATCGAGCGCGGCGTCGTGGCGCCGCAGAGGGTCGCATAGGAAGGCACCGACGCCGCGGGCAGGAGCGTGAGCAGGTCGGCGCGGAGGAGGCGCACCTCTGCGGCGTGCGCCAGGACGCGCGCCATCACGACGGCACACGCCGCGCCGCGCCACTGCGACGCGCGGAGAGGGAGGGCGAGCCGAAGCACTGCGCCTCCGCCCTCCCCCTCCTCCCCCGCGGCGTCGGCGCCGGGCTCGCACAGCAGCGCGAGCTGGTCGCCCCACTCGCCGAGTGCGACCGTCGCAGCGCTCTGCGCGGCCAGCTTCTTCGAGCGCGCGGGCTCGCCGGCGGCGTCGAGGCCTGCCGCCGGCGGCCACGCGGCGGGGGAGGCGGCCTCGATGCCGGCGAGGCGGACGGTGGCGCGGAAGAGCTGGTGGCCGAGGTGCTCGACGGAGTAGGCCACGTAGCCGCCCGCCCGCGTCGCCAGCCGGCCCAGCCGCGCCTTTGGGCTGCCCACTCCTCCGGGCGGCAGCACCGCCGGCTCCTCCGCCGCCGCCGCAGGGGGCTCCGCCGCCGCAGGGGGCTCCGCCCCCTCCTCGACGGCGCGGAGGCCGAGCCGCGCCGCAGCCATCTCTGCGAGCCGCTTCCGCGGCGCGGGCTCGCCGCGGAAGTGCCCGTACCCCTCGAGGGAGAGGGTCGCGGCCCAGACCTGCTCCGAGAGCTGCTCCGAGGCGTAGCTCGGAGGCGGGAGGCCGCGCCGATAGGCGGCCTCCTGCAGCGCGTTCTTCGGGTTGCGGTGCGTCTTCTCGCCGACGCCGCTCTGCTCGTTCCGGTCCGGGTTGACCCTCGCCAAGCCGGCCACACCGCGGGAGAGCCGTAGCGTGGGCGTGAGCGCAACCCACTCCGGCCTCCGGTGCTCGAGCACAACCACCGGCTCCCCCTCGCCGTCCTCGGGCCACGCAGCTGCATCGCCCGGCTCCGCAGTGCCAAGCTCTGCAGTGCCAAGCTCTGTGGCGCGCGGCTCTGCGCCGCCCGGGTCCGCAGTCAGCCTCTCCCACTGCGCCGGGTCCCGCAAGGCGTCGAGAGCGCGCCGCTCGCCCGCCGCACCAGCGCCGCCCCCAACCTCCGTCTGCGGCCAGAAGAGCACCGCCGCCTCGCCGGCCCCGCCCGCGGAGCCGCTCGAGACGCCGTCCGCATGCAGCATCTGAGCCGGAGCAGGGAAGAGGCCGGGCTCGTCGATGCCGAGCAGCCCGGTGAGCGTGGACGCCCACCCCGCGGCGAGCGCCACCTCCTCCTCCCCGAGCTCCAGCACGGGCAGCACCTCCGCCTCCACCTCCGCCCCGCCCAGCCTCTCCCCGACGATGCTCAGAGGAGGCACATCCAGCCGGCCGACTGGCGTGCCCACGTCCCGCACGAGCAGAGTCAGCTCGAGGGACGGGCCGCGGAGCCGGATCGGCTGCCACCGCCCGCCCGCGCACGGCGCGGGCGTCAGCACCGCGGGCCGGGCTCGCTCCACCAGATCGAGACCGACGTCCGCAGCCTCCACCGGCGCGGCAGCCTCTGGCGGTGCTGGTGCCGGGTCGGGCTCCGGCGCGGCTCTGTCGGCGTGACGGAGCGACTCCAGCGCCGAGATGATCTCGCTCGACTTTGCGTTTGCCCGCACGCCCCTCCGCTTGGCGACCTCCTGCAGCTCTCTCCGCGAGAGCAAGCGCAGGTCTTCGTCCTCTGCCGCCGGCAGGTCCACGGGTGCACCGGCCACGCCTGCTGGCGGCCAGACGCCGCCATTCCTTCCACTGAGCTGCGCGATGAGGACTGAACTCTTTTGATTCGCTCGCAGTCCGCTCTGCTTGGCAAGCGCCTGCAGCTCGCGGCGTGGCAACGCCTCCAAGGCCTCTGCCATAGAGATCGGCGTTGCGTGGTGCCGGCATGGCGTGACGAGGAGGTGCGCAGCGAGAAGCAGCATCGCTCACCAGATGGCCGCTGTCGAAGGCAAAGCCTGGTATAGCCCCAGCCGACTCCGCGTGAGCTCTCGAGGGATCTCGAGTCGCGGAGCTCCCAGCTGCTCTGTTCACACCGAGCAGCGAGGAGCGGCTGGCTAATGCAGACCAGTGCCAGCTAATGCAACAAGAAGAATTTTACAAGTGCCCTCGCACAACTCTGGGTAGGGACTTGCGCGAGGGGAGCTCGATAGACTCGAGGGGCCAGGATACGCCGCGAGGAGGACGGAGTTGCGCCGACAGGCGAAAGAAGCCGCGAGAACAAGGGACCGACAGGTGGCGGCGTCGCAGGACGAGGCAGAAGAGAACAACGCGTCAGAGGAGGAAGTGACAAGGGAGAGAACGACGAGGGTGGGACGACCGCGAGGTGGCATGAAGGTTGCAGCGAGAATCGGCGAGAGACTGCGAAGAGAGATAGGAAGAGGCAGACTCCCTAGGGTGGGCGACGGATAGCGCACCACACACCTCTCCTTAAAATCCCTGTGTGGTGGCGGCGTGCCGTCCTCCCATCCCTCCCTTGGGTTGTCTGTTTTCTTTCTTTCTTTGGGTAGGGACTCGATTGCCATACAGACATGGGTGCGAAACAACGACAAGACCAAGGCACGGGCAGAGGAACGAGAGAAGAATATAGGGTGGATAAAGCGCCTGTTCACGGCATGGAGGGTGAGCCACACCGAACGTACCGAGCGAAGAGCCGAGCGGAAGGAGGACGGGGAAGATGACTCCGAGGAGGACGAACCAGTGGAAATCCAGTTGTCAGATGTCACGATGCATCCGAAGGGGACCCCAGCGCCAGCATCATCCGTAGAGGCACGAGTGTTCGAAGAGAGAGTGGACCTGAGCAACAACATGACCTGTAGGCAAATGATCGGAGTGGGAGTCAGAAATGTGGTCCTTGCGCGAGGGGAGCTCGATAGACTCGAGGGGCCAGGATACGCCGCGAGGAGGACGGAGTTGCGCCGACAGGCGAAAGAAGCCGCGAGAACAAGGGACCGGCAGGTGGCGGCGTCGCAGGACGAGGCAGAAGAGAACAACGCGACAGAAAAAAAAATAAAATATTCTTACCTTCAAGCCCCCCTCCGAGACTAGGGACAGAACCCACCCGTACACAGGAGAGATGGGACTGCGCCTCGCCCCCACTTGCCCTGACTGCACAGGATTGCGTGCCCCGAAGACGGCGACACATAGCGGGGGACACTGCGCAAGGAGGGGGTGCGAAGCCAAGGTTGGGGTTCTAGGTGGTGGGACCATGAGGGGGGGTGGGCGGGGTCCTGTGGGGGTGAAATGTTGCGCGGCGAATTCGAACCTACCCCCTCGCCGCGCCGATCCTCACGCGGAGGGTAAAACCCTGTGGGACAAAACCCCTCCGCGGTCGGCTGTCTTCAGAGTGGACCCCCCCCTCCCCAGCCTCCCCTGTTCGTTTTTCGCACCCCCCCCCCCGCTCCCCATCGGTGACTCGCGAAGGACACGGACACTCGGGGTGGGGGGGGAGGGGTCCCCCAGAGAGGGGGCTTTGGGGCCTTGTTGAGTCAATCTCCCCCCCAGAGGGGCCTCGTTGGGTCGATCTCTGGCCGATCTCGTGTCAATCTCGTGTCGATCTCGGGTCGATCTCGGGTCGATCTCGGGTCGATCTCGGGTCAATCTCGGGTCAATCTCGGGTCGATCTCGGGTCGATCTCGGTTCGATCCCGGGTCCATCTCGGGTCGATCTCGGGTCACGTCGTGCGGCGTAATGAGGCGAGATGAGGTGAGATGAGGCGAGATGAGGCGAGATGAGGCGAGATGAGGCGAGATGAGGCGAGATGAGGCGAGGCGAGGCGAGATTAGACGAGATGGGGCGAGATTAGGCGAGATGGAGCGGGATATCGCGAGGTGCAGCCAGCTCCTGCCTGGATGGAGTCAGGATAATGCCTGGGAAGATTCTGATTGGTGCCTGAAGGGGGCTAGGTATGCCTGGAAGGAGCCAGGTTGATGCCTTGAGGCCTTGAGGGAGTCGGCTTGAGGCCTTGAGGGATCCATATCTGGATCCCTCACGGCCTCAAGCCGACTCTCTGGTTCTTCTGGTTCCTCTCGGCGACGCCCAATGCGTGCGCCGGCGTGGGGAGTGTGCGTGCGCGCGCGTGTGTGAGATGAGGATTGTGGCAGGCTGGCTGCTGCTGATGTGGGCAAGTGTGCTCTGTGTGCGGCGCTGCGCTGGCGTGCGATGCGCGCGTGCTGTGCGCGTGTGCGTGTTGGAATCGCGCGTGCGTCTGCGTGTGCTGCGCGCGCGCCGGCGTGTGCTGTGCGCTGTGCTCTGTTGAGCGCCTGTTTGTGCAGCTGGGAGGCGCAGCTTTGGCTGGCAGGGCTGCGCGGTGGGCTGCGGCGTGCTGCGGGTGGTCGCGCGCCTGCCTGATGGTGTACGGCGGCCGCGCAGCCCGCCCGACCGGGTCGTCGGCGGCCCAGGGCGCGAGCATGCGGTCGGCGCTGCATGTGAGGCTGCTGCGCGGCTGGCGCGTATGTTTCCGTGTGGTGAGGGACGCGCGTATGTGTTCACGCTGCGGGCGCGGGCGGGCGCGGGGGGCGGCGCGGTCTCACCGCGGTCCGACGTCGGTTGGTCTTCGGCGTGGCGAGGGCGGGCGCGCAAAGAGGCCTTGCCGCCATCGCGTTGCCGCGAAGGAAAAAGAATTTTAGAACAACGCGACAGAGGAGGAAGTGACAAGGGAGAGAACGACGAGGGTGGGACGACCGCGAGGTGGCATGAAGGTTGCAGCGAGAATCGGCGAGAGACTGCGAAGAGAGATAGGAAGAGGCAGACTCCCTAGGGTGGGCGACGGATAGCGCACCACACACCTCTCCTTAAAATCCCTGTGTGGTGGCGGCGTGCCGTCCTCCCATCCCTCCCTTGGGTTGTCTGTTTTCTTTCTTTCTTTCTTTGGGTAGGGACTGGCGCGCACTAACAAGAAGAAATTGTTCACCTTACACCGGAGCGCGGAGCTATCCCTCGGAGACCCGTGTTATGGCCCTGCGACCGCGCACCCCCCCAGGGCTAGGGCTCTCTAGCCCGCAACCCGACCCCAATCGTCTGGCCAACTGGGATCTATTCTTGCCATATTCGAGAATATAGACCCTATTTTGGACAAGAATACGGAAAGAATACGCAAAAAGAATATAGATAGTACTCGGCGAGAAAAGCGTATAAAGGCCAAGCTTCTCACTGAGGGAGGGAGGGTGTAGAGGATGTAGAGTGTAGAGCGCTGTAGAGCTGTAGAGCTGTAGAGCGCTCTGGAGCGCTGTAGAGCTGTAGAGCTCTACATCCGGCGCGTGACGATGTGAGTCCGATGTAAAGCGATGTAGAGCGCGATTTTGCTGTAGAGTTTGTTGTAGAGGCTCTACAGCCAAACCGAGCCGCGCTAATGGGGTTTCTCCGAGCTTACTGGAGCTCTGATGGACGGCCCTGACTATCACTGACACACAGATAGTCACTCTGACGGCACACAACACCCTATAACTGCGCGTCATGACCAGCCTGCCATGCGTCGCCGGTGCCGCATTCGTCGCTGTGCTTCTTTAGCAGGCGGTGGACTGTCGGCTGCGAGGACGGTCGCATTTGCGCGAGGCGAGGCGATCATTGTTGAGCGTTGCATGCGCCATGACTCGCGCCAGCGCGTGCGGGAGCTCCTGGGTTGAGTCCAGGCGAGTTGCGCTGGCCACTATCGCTACGCCGAGCCGAGCTGACGCGCCGAGGCGCCGGCCAGTCTCAGCCGTGAGGCATGCCACAGCAGCAGAGGCACCTGCCACCCATTGGGCGGGCAGACAGAAGGCCAGGGCAGCACTGGCAAGTGCAACGCGCCTCATGTCGGAGAGCGACCGTGCCTCGTTCGCCGCTTATGATGTAGAGTTTGTTGTAGATATTTCACGTTGTAGAGCGCCTCTACATCGCTCTACATCGGACTCACATCGTCACGCGACGGATGTAGAGCTCTACAGCTCTACAGCGCTCTCCAGCTCTACAGCTCTACAGCGCTCTCTACACTCTACATCCTCTACATCCTCCCTCAGGCTTCTCAGCTCCCCGGTCCTGGTGGTTAGTTACCGACCTGCACTCCAAAGTGCTCCAAGTTTATACGAAACAAGAAAATTATCGCACGACACAGTGACTTCGACTTCGCAGCTCACACACATAGTCATAGACGAAAAGGTGCATCTGCATGCACATGGACATGCACATGCCGCATGTGCGCATGTCATGGTGCCGCATGTGCGTGCATGCACATGCATGGCATGTCAAATGTCATGTGACTCCCCATTTGCATTTCTGCAAAGGCGTTTTAAAAAAATCCAAGAGAGGGGTGGGAGGGCGGGAGAATCCAAAAAAGCCGTCCAAAAAGCCACAATGCACAAAAAGCCAGCGAGCCTCCCGTTACGCGATTGCTCGCGCGGAAGCGCAGCATGATGCGTGGCCAGCGCGGGAGCAGGTCGGCGCCGACGCTGCCAGAACTAAGACGAGACCGGACCGCGACCGACGGCGGGCCGTGCTGCTGCTGGCGAGCATTCCGCGCTGCTATACCTACAGGGAATCCGTGCTGCTAAATCCGGCCCTCGCGCCCCCTTAGGAGGGGCAGGGGGTCTCAAGAAAAGAAAAATTCGGACAGACTGTCAGATCAGATCACAGAGTTACACGCTCAGTACGGAGGGCGGTGGCGCAAAGCCAACAAGCGGGGTCTCACAATGTGTACACTCGGATACATATACACACTCGCGTCGCCCACGCTTAGTTTTCCTGTACAGACTCGAGACCGCTAAACGAATCTCGAGGGCCGACGACACGAACGTACGGCCGCGGGCAACGTGCCGAGCTCACAGCTCCTTTGGCTTGGCGCCGCCTCCTCTCCGCGCGGCCTCGCTCTCGGCGCGCCTCACGACTAGCGCGGTTGGCGCGAGGAGGAGCGCGTAGTGCGCCGCAGCGAGCAGCGGCTGCGACGCGACGCCGAGCCGGCCGACGACGGATCCGCCGTAGAGCGGCGCGACGACGTTGATTGCGGAGTTGCCGATGTCGAGGACGGAGAGGACGAGGGCCTGGTCGGCGGCGGGCACCGACTTCGAGAAGAGCGAGGCGAGGCACGTCTTTGTGATCCGGCCGAGGACGGCGGAGACGGGGAGGTGCAGCCTACAGCCGCGCGAAGTCGCGGGTGAGTCCGCCGCCGCTTCGCCGGCTCTTCGCGGCGGCGGCGGCGCCCGGCGTAGAGGAGGAACGCGCGGTGGCGCGACTCGAGGAGCGAGTTGAGGGTTGCGAGGCAGAGGCAGAGGCAGAGGAGCCGCCCTTCTCCCCGGCTGGCCGCGAGCCTGCCGACGAGGAGCCAGTCTACCGCGAGGCCGAGCAGCTGGTTGTACGAGGCGAGAGAGCCTACGGACACGGGCCGTGGGCAGGTCACGGCCACGCCCGTGCCGCGCAGCCGGCCGCGCGAGGGAAGGCGAGAGCCAGACACGGCCGGAGAGAGGGACCACACCTGACGGACGCGGCGCCAGGTCGAGGAGTGAGGCGCCAGGTCGAGGCGTGAGGCGTGAGGCGCGAGGCGTGAGCAGTGAGGCGCGAGGCGAGGGACTGCCGCCTGGCTCTCGTACAGCGCGTGCATTGAGTACCCCGCCCGCATGAGCAGGCTGTACAGCAGCCGGAGCAGCAGCATCTCGCCGCCGCCGCCGCCGAACGCAGCCGCCGTCTGCTGCAGCGAGGAGCGTACGGCGGCGACGCGGCCACCGCCGCCACTCCTCCCGCCGTCCCCGCCGCTCTCGCCGCCGCCCTTTCCGCCTCGCGCGGCCACGTGCGGAAGGCAGAGCTGCACGAGGGCGATGTCGGCCGCAAAGAGAGCCGCCGCCGCGAGGCACGGGATGCGCCGCCCATAGCGGGAGGCGATGATGCCGCCTGAGCGAAGAGGGCGGGCCGTGAGCCGCGCTGAGGAGAGGCGGCAACGCGGGCGGGCGCACCGAGCGCTTGGCCGAGGGAGAGGGCGAGCGCCATAGTGGAGGAGAGGCGGCCGAGGGCCTGCGTGCGGCCTCCCTCGTCGGTGAGCGAGCTGAGAAGCGCCGTCGAGCATGTCATCGTCTGCTTGGCCAGCCCGACGATCACTCGGGATGCGACGAGCAGCAGCAGCGACGTCGCAACGCCGGCCACGGCGTAGGAGAGAGCGGCGCCGAGAAAGCTGATCTGGAGCGAGAGCTTCTGGCCGAGGCGGCGGTCGCCGACCAGGCCAATGACGAGTCCGCCCGTGAGCTGAGCTATCGCGTAGACGGAGGAGAGCACGCCAAAGCTCTCTGGCGTGCCGCCCAGCTCCGCAAAGAGAAATGGAAGGTTCGGCAGCACGAGGGCGACGCCAAACATGTCGACGAACACGGCGAGCAGAAGTACGTTGGTCGGAGAGTCGAGAAGGCGCAGCAGTGGCGTTGGCCGCATAAACGTCGAGAAAGCAGCTTCGGAGCCCTCGAGCGAAGGCTCTCGAGGTTCTGGAGTATGCTGTATCCTTTGGCCGCCGCGTAGGGGAGCTGCAAAAGAAACGAAAACGGTTCGGGGCGGGGTGGCGTTTTACTAAAGACTTGTGACGTTTCGGAGAGAGAGAGAGAGAGAGAGAGAGAGAGAGAGAGAGAGAGAGAGAGAGAGAGAGAGAGAGAGAGAGAGAGAGAGAGAGAGAGAGAGAGAGAGAGAGAGAGAGAGAGAGAGAGAGAGAGGAGAGAAGACAGAGCGGAAAAAGAAACCATCAAATCCTTTTCTCGCCGGCGGCTTCGCTCTCTCGGCGGCTTCGTGACACAGCCCAGAGCACACAGCCCAGCCCGCCCGCCACACGCACCTACATGCACTCCTCCACCGCTCTCATTGCCGTCGCTGTCGCCGCGACCGCGCTCCTCCTACTGCAAAGGCAGCGAGGCCTCCTGCCGCTGCACCACCGGCCGCTGCGGCCGTTTGGCGCCTGCGTGGAAGCATCGCTCCCATCCCTGATCCGCAATGGCGCGCTGCTGCGGCGCCTGTGGCGGCAGAACGGCGGCCTGCTCGTGCTTCGCGGCCTCTCGCTGACGCCTCGCGGCATGCTCGAGCTGTCTGCGCTCTTCGGGGAGGTTGAGCAGGAGCTGGATGACAGCAAGATTCACTTCCGGGTGGGCGGTCTCTCGTCGGTCATGCGCATCGGCAATGTGCGCGACGAGACGGGCCGCCTAATCTCGATGCACACCATCTCCGCGCCGCTGCCGCCGGGCGGCTCTGCTCAGTACCGAGCCGCCGAGCGGCAGCCAGCGTGGCACACGGACTCGCTGTACCGCCGGCGGCCTCCCGTCGGCTCGGCGCTGTACTGCGTGACGGCCCCGCCCTCGGGCGGCGCCACGTGCTTTGCGGACGCGACGACCGCCTTCGCGAGCCTGGACGAGGTGACCAAGGAGCGGCTGCGGGGCCTGACCTGCGTCTGCTCGATGGCGCACCACGACGCAAAGGTGAAGAAGCGGGGCTCGCCAGACTACCCGACTCTCTCCGAGGCCCAGCGGAGGGCCAACCCGGCTCAGAGAGTGCCTCTCGTGCTGCGGCACCCGCAGACGGGCAGGGAGGCGCTGTCCGGCATGAACGCGGGGACTTGCGCGGTGCTGCCCGGCGGGGCCGAGCTTTCGCGCGCGGAGATGGACCGGTGCGAGCTCGAGGCGGTCGAGATGCCGTCGGTCGAGGCGGAGCTTCGTGCGCTGCTGCCCTTTGCGACGCGCGACGAGTTTGTGGTCCAGTGGCAGTGGGAGCCGGGAGACTTTGTCGTGTGGGACAACCGATGCACGATGCACTGCGCAACGGGCTTCGAGTGGCAACGGTTTACGCGAGAAATGTGGCGGACGACGCTGGTGAGGGAGTGGGAAGAGTAGCGCTGGTTGTTAAGAGTGTCGTGAAACTGCAAGAAATAAAACCGAAAAACCAGGACGCAGGGAAGACTCTAGACTGTGGTGCTCTGTGTGGGTCGTGGGGCTCCTGGCACCAGTGCCACCACACGCCCAAAACCGGCGGTGCAACTCGGAGAAAACGCGAACGAAATAAACAACGAATAAACTCCAAGTGCATAAATCGACGCGCTCGAAAACGCCAACGAGGGCTCGAGGGGTGGGAGTCTGGGAGAAGGACCGGGTCCCCACCACCTGCACGAGCAGGATCTTGTATTGCAATAAGGGAGGAACTCAGGGACACAGAGCTCAGAGGAACTTGGAGTGCAGGTTGGTAGCCGCACGCCCAAAGAAAGAAAGAATTCTTACTTAAAATACAAGCCTCTCTCACAGCACACTGCTCACTGGCACGACAAGGGCGCGGACTGGCGCGGACTGGCACACCCACCGGCTCACCAAGAAAGAAAAAAACGAACATTCAAGGGAGGGATGGGAGGACGGCACGCCGCCACCACAGGTGCTAGCCGTCGCCCACCCTTGGGCTGGGTGGAGGGCGTTTAGGGGCGGTCTTGGAGCACTTGGAGTGCAGTCATTAACCGGATAACCGCACATCCAGGGCCGGGGAGCTAAGTCCTAAGAAGCGCACCCAGCGGGCCGGATGATTGGCATCGGGTTACGGGCTAGAGAGCCCTAGCCCCGGGGGTGCGCGTTCGCAGGGAAAGGGCCGTAAAGTAAACACTGGTCTCCGAGGGTTGGCTCCGCGCTCCGGGTTTCCCCTAGCAGCAGACCGCCCCCTCTACTCGGAGCTATAATGAACACCAGACATGCACACGACACGCACTCTCACACGACGTCACCGCTCAGGGCCCCTTCGCGCAAGGTCCTCATCCTCACCCCGGAGGAGGCTCCCCTCTCCTCTGAGTTCTTCCTCTTGTTCGCCTTCCGATGATCGTCTGACGGGCGCGGGGCCCGACCTCCCCTCCTAGCCTTTTTCAGCCGCGGCCCCGCCACCGCCTCGTCTTCTCTGTCCGATTCTGTCGCCACCACCGACGGTGATCCCATGCCCGACTCCTCGGGCGAGGGCAGCGGCATTAGATCGCCACGCCGCCCCTCCCCGGGAAGTGGGGCCAGCTCACTTCGATCGAGGACTCGCGCCCGCCCCCGCGGTCTCTCTATCGTCCTCGGCTCGTCCGTACGTCCCGACTCTACTCGCAAAGGCCGCGCCAGCTCATCTCTCAAGCGGCCTTGCCGCTCCACCCCCATGGGGCTTCGCCTGGGGCGCTCCGCTGGCCCAATGCCCACTGCCCTCTGCGGTCCCCTTACCATGCCTGGCCCGGCTCCCCATTGAAATGAGCCCGTCAACCTTGCGACCACCGGCACGTGGTCCGCACTGAGGGGGCCCGCCCGGGTCGCCACTGCCGCCCGCGCAGGTTGCCCAACTGACGACCATCCTATCGCCGGCCCATTGGCCCATACATAATCGATGCGCGACACCCCCCTCCCCTTCGGGCAGAACGTGAATCCCATCGCCGACGGCCCTGCTGCTTCATGGCAGTCGGTAAGGCCCAGGCGCGGTCTTCGAATTCTTTCTTTTCTGGTGGATCTGTGTTAGTGCCAGTGCGCGCCAGTCCCGTGCCCAAAGAAAGCAAGAAAACAGACAACCCAAGGGAGGGATGGGAGAACGGCACCGTGCCCAGTGTTGTGCGAGGGCGCGGCGCCGAATTCTTTCTTTTCTGAGGCTACGAGTTGCTGCTGGCGTGATGCAGGCCGAGAAGCTCACGAAGCTCCACAAGAGCCTGGAGGATGCTTCGAGCTTGCGCGGCTCGGCAGGCGGCCTTGGCTTCAACGCCGCCGAGGCAAAGGCGGCGCGAAAGGCGGAGAAGGCGGCAAAGAGGGCGCGCGGTGGGGCAGAGAACAAGCGCGAGTTCCAGTCGACGAGCGCCGGCGCGGTGGCCGCTGGCCACTGGGACCCGTGGGCGCGGCCGGTGGCCTTTGAGATGAAGGCCAAGAACACCGTCGCGGGCGGGCTGTACTCGATGTTTGTCAAGGGCGAGACGGTGGGCGGCACGCTCAAGGAGGCGCAGCGGGCGGCGGCGGACGAGGCGGCGGGCATGGGCGCCCCGGGAGAGACGGGCGCCAAGAAGCGCAAGGGAGATGCGGCGGCGGCGGGCGCCTCAAAGCAGGAGAAGAAGAGCAGGAAGCGCGAGAAGAAGAGCGAGGCGGCGGTCGAGAAGGCGGCGGCGGAGAAGGCGGCCGGGGCGAAGGCGGCGACGGGCAGCACGGGCGGGTTTGACTGGCAGGCAGACATTCTCCGGAGGCTGGAGGCGGCGCCCGGCGGGAAACTGGACGCCAAGCGGCTCCGCAAGGCGGCGGTCAGCGGGGCGGCCGCCGCGCTCGGCTCGTCCGACAAGGAGGATCTGCGCAAGGCCTACCGGAGGAGCCTCAAAGGCTTGCGGCACCGCGTGAGCGTGTTTGACGACCCCGCAACAGGCGCCGAGGCGGTGGAGCTGAAGAGGTAGCGGCGGCCTAATCGGCGGCTGTGTGTGTCACTGCGTCTGGGGCCTCGAGTCTGGGGCTTATATGTTATCCGGATCGGACTCATGTTATTGTTAACTCGGACCCCCCTTGAGGCTCGAAAAGCACCACTTGCGGCTTGCGCATGGGCTTGCGTGGCGCGGGCTTAGCCGGCGTGTCGGAATCGCCCGCCCGGCCGACACGCACGTCGCACGACGCACGACACGCGACACGGGTCCCGACCGAGGCGGAGACACACGACCGGGCGGCACGCGGCTCGCGGGTGGTCGTGGTGTCAGATCGTTCGACGTTCATTTTCCGCGAATGGTCTCGGGTCGGGGCCAAGGTGCTGGAAAAGAAATAACCTGCCCCGCACACGCCGGAAGAGTCGATCGGAAGTCGATCAAGGCGACGCTGTCCAGTCACTCGGGTCTTCCTGTCCAGTCCCAGCCGGCTCAACCACGCCAAGCATGATCTCTGCTCTCCTCGCCCCGCTATCGGCTCCCCAGGCTGACCTCGTCACGAGTCTGCCAGGCTTCGACAGCTGGCCGTTCAAGCTCTACAGCGGCTATCTCGCAGTCAAGGGTCCCTTCACGCTGAACGATTACGATGAGCTGCGCATCCACTATCAGTTCCACACGTCGCAACGGGACCCGCAGAACGACGCCGTGGTCACTTGGCACCAGGGCGGACCGGGCGGCTCCAGCATCGACGTCGGCCTCTTCACCGAGATGGGCTACTTTTCGCTCTCCTCCGACGGCCCTTCTGCAAACGAGTTTGCGTGGAACAAGGTCGCCAACATGCTCTACCTCGAGTCACCCGCCGGCAGTGGCAACAGCGCGGGCTTCTCAACGTGTGTCAAGGCGGGCAAGCCTGTGGGGTGCAAGTGGGATGACGTCTCGCAGGCCGAGGCGTATGCGCACAGCCTGGTCGAGTTCTCGCGCGCCTTCCCCGAGTTCGCCACCAACCCGCTCTACCTGACTGGAGAGTCGTACTTTGGCCAGTACGGCGAGGCTTAGCCGAAGCAAGCAGGGCGAGGCGACAGCATCCTCTGACCTGCGTCCTCCGCGGTGCAGGCCCAAACATCGCGAGCTACATCCTCTCGCACGCGCCCTTCAACTCGACGCTCCCCCTCAAGGGCATCGCGGCGGGCAACGCGTGCTGGGGCGGCGACGAGACGAGCGTGGCCTGCAACGGGCCCAACGAGGAGCGGAACGACGTCGAGATGTACTTTGGAAAGGGCCTCGTCTCGAAGAAGCTGTACGAGCAGGTGCAGGCCGCCTGCGACGGGCAGTTCGACGAGCCGGGCGCCGCGTGCGACGTCCTCCTCGAGCGGGTCTCCGCCGAGGTCGGGCCGCACAATGTCTACAACATCTATGACAACTGCGACGAGATGCAGGAGCGGCTCGCCGCGCACAACAAGTCGATGCGCTGGGCGCGCCAGCGGCTGCGCGCCGACCTCGCGCCGCGCTCGAGCTCGGCGGAGGGAGGCTTCACGTGGCGGTGCGGGGGGATGGCTGCGACGGAGGAGTGGATCACTCGCCCGGACGTGCGAAAGGCGCTCCACCTCGACGCTCCGCACAAGTCGAGCTTCCACTACTCCCTCTCCGGCCCCGCCTCGATCACGCTGTGGCCCTCCCTCTCCGGCAAGCTGCGCGTGCTCATCTACAACGGCGACGCGGACGCGTGCGTGCCGTACAAGGGCAACGAGGAGTGGATCGGCATGCTCGAGAAGCGAGGCGTCCTCACCGAGGCGAAGGCGTGGCGCCCCTGGTACCTGCCCGGCAAGCGCCGCGCGCCCGCCGGCTACGTGACGGCGTACACCCCCTCCGAGGGCAAGCACGACTTCTCCTTCCTCACCATCCGGCTGGCAGGCCACATGGTGCCTACCTACCAGCCGGCGGCGTCGCTCGCCTTCATCTCCTCCTTCCTCGACGCGAAGCCCTTCTGAGGCGGCAGCCGGCGCTCTGGTCTCTCGTGCCGGGCGGTTGGCCGTGCGCCTGTGCTGTGCGCTGCGTGGACTGAGCCCGCGTGTGCGGCTGTGCGCTGCGGCGACCGAGCCAATCGCATCGAGCGAGAGCACTTGCCGGAATGCGGAGAGCCGGAGAGCCGGCGGCCGAGAGCGGGGCGTGCGCGCGGGAGGCGGGTGTGCCGCCGCGGGCGGCGGGGGCCGTCGCCGGCGTGGTCGCGAGCTCCGACAAGGCTACTGGCTAGCAAGTAGCAAGAGGTCCGCCGTGTCTGTCTCGCGTGTATCTGTTTTTATCTGGTGACGCTACTCGCCAAAGCGGACCACACCTCTCTCTGTGTGCACACATATCCGCGCCATCCCAAAAGTCGAGGAGCGACCCGCTGGAGCCGGCCCTGCTGCACGCGGGCTTGCCACAGCCATCACATCGGGTCGGGGAAAAGACGGGCTCTAGTTGGGCACGACGGTGCCAAAGAACTGGCCCTTGAGCAGCAGCTCCTTGGGCACCTTGGAGCCGAGGTCGGTGTCGGAGGGCTGCTTCTGCACAAAGACGCCGCCAAACTCGCCCAGCTCCGCGTTGACCGAGGTGACCTTGAGCTCAATCGAGCCGCGGCCGACGTCGAACTTCTTGTTGTTCTCCTTGAAGAGCGACTCGTCGCCGCCGGCCTGCAGCGCGGGCAGCGCGACGGCCTGGTCGTAGCCAGTGGTGGTGCCGCGGCCCTTCGGGTCGAGGAAGAGGCCGGTGCGGTAGGAGGGCACGTTGAAGCCGCCCGACATTTTGAGGCCCGGGCTGATGGAGGAGGTGGCACCGTCCTGGGGCGGGGCAGGGGCGGCGGGGTGAGGGGCGGCGGGGTGAGGGGCGGGTGGGGGGAGCGAGGGAGGCAGGCGCGGCGAGGGGTAGCTGCAGGGTGGGGGGTGGGGGGTGGGGGGGTGGGGGGGAGCGAGGGAGGCAGGACCGGCGAGGGTGCGAGAGGCAGCTGGAGAGGCTGGCGCAGGGAACAGTGCGGTGGGCGGGTGGGCCACCGACTGCGCGACGAGGTTCTTCACGGTGAAGAGGAAGGGCACGCGCTCGCCGCCGGGCAGCTGGACGGTGGTCGGGGCGTAGTCAATGCCGTCCTGAAGGGGGGGGGGGGGGGGAGGAGGGGGTCACGGGTGCATTCGGGGAGAGGAGGGGAAGCGCGCGCTGCCGTGGGGGCAGGGCAGCTTGCGGCGACAGGGTAAGGAGAGGGGCGGGGCCCGGTGCAGCGGCGGCGGTGCAGCGGCTGCCTTCTCGAGGAAGGTGAGCTTGCCGTCCTTCTGGACGAGGTCGCCCTCCATGCCGGTGAGGACGTAGGTCTGGCGCGTCGTCACCTTGGTGTCGACCGCCTCGGTCACCACGCCCGACTTCGTCAGCTTCTCCTCCAGAACCTGCAGCCGTCGGCAGCAGCGGCGCTGTCGCGAGGCGGCGCGGGGGCGGAGAGGAGGGGAGGGGGGCGAGGGGAAAGAGGCCGGCGACCGGTTGCAGCGCGCAGTGCGCCGCCGCGGAGATGCTGCCCCATCAGGCGTGGACGCTCGACGCGCGTCGTGTGAAGGCTGTGCAGGAGGGCGCGCCTGGAAGGAGGTCGGCTCGAGGCAGAACTCGTCGATCTTGTAGTTGCCGCCGACCTTAATCTCGGTCTTCATGCCGTCGACCTGCTCGACCACCGGGCAGGTGTTGGCCAGCCCCGTGCCCTTGATCTGCTGGTACGTCAGCGACGCAATGTCTGTGCGCGTGAAGGGGCCGGCCGACGCCGACTGCACCCCGACCGCAAGCACCGCAGCAGCCATGCCAGCGACCTGACCGGCGGTGACCGAGTCCTTCGCGGCCATGCTGACGTCGGCGGACCGCTGCATCGGCGCGACGCGCCCCGGGGCGGGCGTCACGAGCGAGCTGCTGAGCGAGAGGGCAGAGGCGAGCATGGCGACCGAGAGAGGATCTGGGAAGCGAGCAATTATCCGAACTTTTTCTTTTGAGAGCGCCTTCGTTGTTAATAGTACAAACGCGAGCGGTCCTACGTTGCAGTCGCACACACGCACACGCCACGCTGCACCGCGCGCCCGCCCACTGCCCCGCCCAGGCGGGAAAGAGATGAGGAGATGGGACAGCAACGGACTTTTTTCTTTTTCACACACCTTGTTCTTGAGAAGAAAATACGTCGCATGGCGCTTTGCGCTGGTCTATGAGAGGTTGAGGTGCGAGCCCTGGAGGCCCTGGGGATGGGGGGAGACTACCCGCGGGCCTAGAAGGCCCGCGCGCAAGGGGGTGGGACATTGAGATTGAATGAACATTCTGTTCAGTCAGCGTGTGGACCACTTGTCCGATGTCCAGCGTCGGCGCGTAGCTCGGGTCGTACAAGTACTCACCGGTCTCAGCGGCATTGCCATGGTAGGCCAGGCCCACCTTATACCGCAGCGCAGCGCGAGCCTGCATGTGCTCGCGCAACCCCACCTTTGGAAGGAAGGCAACTCGCCGCGAGGCCAGCCCTCCTCCAGGAGGACCTGCTTGCGGTGCGCTGTCGACGAGGGGTTGAGGAGGTCGTAGTCGCCAAGCAAGGTCTTCTGCCTCCCAGGGCGGAAGGCCCGGGCCTGCCCGGGCGCGCGGGCCCGCCCAAGACGGCTGGGCGAGGGAGCGCGCGACGGAGCAGCGAGCTGAGGAGGTTGTACTCTCTGCTCTCAGGGTCGAACTCGCGAGTGCCGATAGACCGCCGCCAGGCTCCAAAAATGTCTAGCGCCTGGTGGTCGTCATGCGAGTACCGATAGTGGGGCGGGAAGTGCGCGTCGAACCGCGCAGTAGCCTGTGGAGCACTTGGAGCACTTGGAGTGCAGTTATGATATCAACCTCACATCCAGGGCCGGGGAGCTAAGAAGCGCACCCAGCGGGCCGGATGATCGGCATCGGGCTACGGGCTAGAGAGCCCTGACCCCTAGGGGGGGTGCGCGTTCGCAGGGAAAGGGCCGTAAAATAAACACGGGTCTCCGAGGGTTAGTACCGCGCTCCAGGTTTCCCCTATAGCAGCAGAACGTCCCCTCTACTCGGAGCTAGTAAACACCAGACAAGGACACGCGACGACACACACTCCCCCTTGGCGACGGCGTCGCCAATCACAACCCCTCCGCCCGGTCTCCCTGCCCCGGCTCCGGTGGGGTCCCCCCCCCGGTCCGTTCTCCTGTTTGCTTCTCGATGGTTGTACGGCGGGCGCGAGGCCCGACCTCCCCTCCTAGCCTTTTTCGGCTGCGGCCCCGCCGCCGTCTCGTCTTCTCTGCCTGATTCCTGTTGACTCTGTGGAACCCGATTTTTTGATTCCTTCTTTGCTGCTCTCCTGGATCTTTTGGAGGTCGGTGCGGCGGAGGTGGAGGCGACGGAGGCTCGGCGAGCACGGCTGGGAGCGGCAGAGGATTCAGGATCGGTGCAAGCACTGATCTGAGAAGAAGGGTGGCTTTGTTTGGTCACGATCGGGACGGATGACACGTCTGATGCAGACATGCGGTCACCCTCGATTCCTGTTTGTTGAATGTTGAAGCCCTCTTCGATGCGCAGTCGCAGGAGTGATAACCCATCGAGGTGGGAGCCGCCTGCGGCATACTGAATCCTCCACCGGTGACACGAGCCGACTCGTCCCGCTCCTCGAGCGGCTCGTTCACCTTCCCAGCCACGCCCTGCACAGCAGCATGGCCATCCTCCTCCTCCTCCTCCTCCTCACTGTAGTTGTCCCACCCGTCGTCGGAGTCGTCGCCACGGCGCTCGAAGCGGCACTAGAGCTCCTCTTCCTCTGCTTCCTCTGCTATCTGCTGCGCCAGCACTGCCTCCCACTCAGGGTCGGCAGCAGAGCCAGCATCGCTTTGAGTAGAGCAGCGCATTGCCACGTCCTCGTCGCAGAGCTCCACCGCGGCGAGAGACGTGGTGACAATGGCGATCGACGTGCCAGCGGCGCGGCTGGCAACGCCAGCATCACCGCCGCGCACCGCGGCGTGGGGCGCAGCAGCGTGCCGTTCGGCCATCGTGTTACGACATCCGACCTGCGAGCTACGCGCCGCGCTGGACATCGGACAAGTGGTCCACACGCTGAACAGAATGTTCAATCTCAATGTCCCACCCCCTTGCGCGCGGGCCTTCTAGGCCCGCGGGTAGTCTCCCCCCATCCCCAGGGCCTCCAGGGCTCGCACCTCAACCTCTCATAGACCAGCGCAAAGCGCCATAGGACGTATTTTCACATGGCTTTTTCCGGGAGAGCCTCGCTCCCTTTAAATAAATAAAGAAAAGGGGCACGCCAAACGAGGGGTGGGAGAAGGACAGGGTCCCCACCTGCACGAGCAGGATCTTGTAAGGACGATCAGGGACACAGGGGAACGGGAGCGGGGAGCTCCCTTTCCACCGGGCGGTTGTGTGGGTTTCTTCCGTTCGGCCGTGTTCTCGTCGACCGACCATGATCGCGGCGGCGGAGGGGAGCAGGGGCGGCGCCAGAAAACCACTCACGCGAAAAAAAAATCTGCCCGTCCTCGCGCGATTTCTTTCTCACGCCAACACCACACCATGACCGACCATCAGAGCACTTGCACTTCCGCCGCCCTCGCCCGTGTCCGAGTCGCGCCTGACAACAACTGCCTCTTCACGACGGCCGCGTATCTGTGCGAGGACCTCACCTCCGAGCTCGACCTGCGCGCGGCCGCGCGCCGCCTGCGCGCCGCCTGCGCCGACAGCGTCAGCGCCGACCCGGACCCCGACACGCGAGCCCTCCTACTCGGCCACGACAGCGTGGCCGACTACGGCGCGTGGATCCGCGTGGAGACGCACTGGGGCGGCGAGCCCGAGATCCTGATGCTCGCGCAGCACTACAATGTCCAGATCGTGCTCGCGTCGTGTGAAACACTCCGCTGCTCGACATACTCGGCCGACGCGCCGACGGCGAGCGTGTTCGTGCTCTACACAGGGCAGCACTACGACCCGCTGGTGGGACAGCCCGCTGCTAGCGACGCCGGCGCGAGCCCGCTGCGCCGCCTCCCGCTCGACGCCGGCGTTCGCCTCGCGGCGAGCGCGATTGAGATTGCGAGGGCGCACAACGCCGAGGCGGAGCGGAGGAAGCTGGAGCGGCGCGTGAAGAGGATCAAGTGCGGCGGGTGCGGCGCGATCGTCGCCGACAACGCCGCCTTCCAGGCGCACTGCACCGAGGTGGAGCACGACGACGACTTCACGTACGAGTGCGAGCAGGTGAGGCTGCGGGAGTCTCTCCTCGCGCCGCTCTCCTCCTGCTCCTCCTCCTCTGCGCCTCCTCTCCTCCTCGGCTCTCCTCCATCTCCTCGCTCTCTCTCCTCCCTCTCCTCCTGTCTTCGCCCCTCTCCTCCGCTTCCCCTCTCCTCCTCTCCACTTGAGGCGACCTGGCGAGGCGACCTGGCGAGGTGCCCGCAGGTCGAGCTCGTGCCAGGAGATATGGGGAGATATGGGGAGATATGGCGAGGTGCCCGCAGGTCGAGCTCGTGCTGGGCGAGGGCGACGAGCTCCCCGACGGCCACGTCGACCTCGAGTCGGAGGGCGAGCACCCACTCCCCACCGCGCGCTCTCCTGGCAAGGGCTCGTTCCCCAGACTCAGCACGAGGCGGTAGGCGTGCACGCCTTCTACAACGCCCTCTCGTCGGAGGCGCTCTCGCTCTCGATGCGCTGCACGCTCGCCCCCTTCGAGCTCGACGGGAAGAGGTACCCCACCCTCGAGGCGGCCATCACCGCCGACGCCGTCGCCGACCTCCCCTCCTCCGAGCAGCGCGCCGCAGCGGTGCTGTCGGCGGTGCGTGCGCAGTACGCCTCCGAGGCGGCCGAGGGCTCGGGCCTGGCGGCGCACCTCCTTGCGACGGGAGACAAGCTGCTCGCGTGCGTCGACCTCAACCCGTGGCTCGGCATCCAGGCGCGGGGCGGGAGGGGGGGGGGGAGGGGGAGAGGCGGGGCGAGAGGATCCACGCCCTCTCCGCGCCCCCAGGCGGGCGACGGCATCTCGACGGGCGAGAACCGGCTCGGCAAGGCGCTGATGGCGGTGCGGGACGAGCTGCGCGCGGCGCGCGGGTAGGTCGGGCCGCGACTTCTCGGCAGCCGAGTCTTGCCTTTTTATCACCGCAGCGACGAGGAGTCGCTGTAGAGGGGGAGGCCACGAGCCACGCCCCCCCAGGCCCACACCGCGCGCCGCACGTGCGATTTGGGAGACTTTTGCGCTGGGGTCCGCCCACGCCCCATGGCATGCGACTTGCGAGATGCGAGATCTCTCTTTTGTTTTTTCGTGGAGGGGAAGAGACTTTGCAACCCTCTTTGCGGCAAAAAAAAACGCCCGTGGCGGAGCCGGAGGGGGACCGCGCCGGCTCGTTTCGCACACTCTCACGCGCACTTGGCGGTCACACATAAAACGCAAAGACGTCACGTATCCATGTGGCGGCGTAGACAGGGCACACCGCGTATGCTGTATCTTGTACGTGCATGGTCACGCTCTGGTTGTCGTCAAGCTCACGGTGCAGGCGGCGCCGCTCGGACTGCGCCGAGCAGCGCTGCGGTCTCCGACCCGGACAGCTTTGGCAGCACGCCCAAGAGTAGCTGGCTGAGCGTGGATCTCCCCTGCGTATCAGTGGCCGCGCCGCCGGCGCAGAGAGAGCGCAGAAACGCGCCCGCCTCCTGCTGCACCACCTCCGGCTCGGCCGGCTCCTCCTCCACCTCCGCTTCATCCCAATCGTCCCAACCGTCCGCTTCATCTTCCGCCACCGCCTCGAAACCCACTTGCGCTGCAGCTGGCAAGCCGGATGTCCCTTTCTCGCCCCAGTCAGCCCCGGAGGCCATGCCATCGCTTGCGCCGCCCACAATCGCATCTCGCAGCTGCGCTCGGAGCGAATCTGGCGAAGGCACCGCGGTATTGGCATGCCCCTTCACCACCTCGGCCTCGCAGTCAACCTGCGAGTCGCGCAAGAGCAAGGCGGCAATCGCGCGCAGCAGCTCCAAGAGTGTCGCTGAGCTATGCATCTGTGGCAGCCGGTGGCAAATGATGAGTAGATGGCGCAGCGCAAACGACGAGAGCAGCGGCGACGAGAGCAGCCACACCATCACGCAGAGCACCGACTGGCCGCTCTCGGCGCACCGCTCGTCATTTGTGAGCAAGACGTCGACCGCTTCGAGAAGTGGGAGCAGCAGCGGCGGGTCGCGCACGGTGAGACGGAGCGAGGAGAGCACGTACAGGAGCATCTCGGAACCCTCAGTGCGCTCAAGCCCCTCGCACACCGCGGGGAGCTCCGCGTGGACGGCGGTGAGTAGCGACGACGCAATGAGCCGCGCGTGGGCTGTGTCGCGTCCGGAAACAATCGGGGCGGGGAGCGCGCGGCGGCCGGAGGCAGCCACGGGCGAAGGTGGGTGCTGCGATGGCGATGTGTCCGATGATTGGCGGTCGCCAGCCTCGTCCCGCAGCAGCCCCTCGAGGCTCCTGTCGGGGTGCGCCTGCGCCGAGACCTCGAGTAGCGCGCGAGAGAGGAGGGCCGTGTGAGTGGCGCGGCGCTGCGGAGAAAGTGCGAGGTCTGAGCGAAAGGTGCCCAGCAGCCTTGCGAGGAGCTGCATTCCAACCACCACCACCTTGTCCGACGTCGCGGCGGCTACCACATCAGACACCGGACCGAGCAGCTCGGGAAGGAGCGCGCGCACCCGCTGTGGAAGCGCCAGCGGCGCCGTCGGCCGTGGCACGTCCGATGGCCGAGTGTCCTCCGAATGCTGTGCGTGATTGAGTGCCAGGAGGAGGGTGGAGGCGCCGACCCAGCACGGCAAAGAGTCGACGAGCGGCAGAAAGCTGGCCCACAGCCCCTGTAGCACCGGCAGGTCGGCGGCGAGAGCCACCTCTGTGAGCGGCCGTAGCAGCTGGTCTGCCATGCGCCGCACCTCGAAACGGCGATCCGCAAAGCACTGAGTCACCTGCAGCAGAGAGAGCTGCAAGCACGTGCCAAACGGGACCCAGTTGAGCGCTCGCGCCCACTCCTCCGCCTCGCGCTCCGCGTTTGTGCCATCGCACTCCCAGACCCACCGATCCGCGCTGCTGTCGGCGCAGGGTAGCGGCACCTCGCTCGGCGCGGCCAGCGTCGACCTCGCTGGCGGAGTCGGCAACGAAAACGCGTTGGTGGCACAAAGGATCGCGGGTGGTGGGTCTTGTCTGAGCAGGTACAGGAGCGATTGCGGTGCTTCAACCGTGGCCGCCGGCGCCGGCGCTGGACTGAGGAAGGACCGGGGCGTCGCTGCCGTGTCGAAAGAGGCGCGACGGGCACGTAGAGGGCTCGTCGCTCCCGCCTCGCGCGAGGTCGTGACGGGCACTTCCTCCGCCGCGGCCTCGTGCTGCCCCCGCACAAAGTCGTAGACCAGCTCCAGCGCCAGAAGCCGCCCCTCGCGGCTCTGCCATGACAGCTGCCTCTCGCTAACGGCCTCGAGGCGCGGCTTCGGATGACACAAAGCCGCATCGCTCTCGGCCGTTGAGGCGGCGGCTAGCGGCCAGCGAGCAGTATGCGGTGCGGTAGACGAGGCAGGCGAGCAGGCGGCCACGCCGAGCGAGGCTCCGCTTGAGGCCCCGTTGGAAGGGCTGTGGGAGGGGCCGGCGGGCGACGGCGATGGCGTGGTCGGGTTGAGCCGGGAGAGAGAGGTGGAGTCGACGTGCCAGCCAGCGGAGATGGACTGCAGCATCAGTCGCACGAGGATGGGGTGGAGCCGCGTCGGCGCCGCGTCGAGTGCCGCACGGAAGAGTGCTGAACAGGCCTGGCGGACTGTCGACGCCGTGTGGGACAGGTAGGCCTCTAGCACGGGCCAGACGCGTCCCCAGTTCCGAAGCACAAAGCAGGGCGGCAAGCCGGGGAGCACAGCCGCAGCAAGGCTGAGCAGACCCTCCGCCTCGAAAGCGGACAAGTGCCCCACAGTCCCAGCCGACGGCGGGCGCGTCCACGGAGGCCCCCCTGCGTAGAGCGTGGCGGCGAGCGAAGCGGCCGAGTCGGACGCCCGCCGGATGCTGAGAAAAGGGTCGCCGTCGGGGTTGGGCGAGCGTGCCAGGGCCTCGAGCTCGAAACGGCCCGCCGGGGACAGAGGCGAGGAAGGCGAGAGCGACTCCACCGAAAGCGTCTCTAGACCTTCCCCGGGGATGCCTGTCCGGCTGCAATCTTCCCACTTGCTGCGCGCCTCTGCCGGCAAGAAAGCCTCGTCATGCCGGTCAAGCGGTGCGGACGGCAGGCGCTGCGACACCGGGTCCGAGGGGGCACCGCTAGCCAGCCGGTTCATCACCTCGACAAAGACGCCATCGGAGGCACCAGACGCGTCAAGGGCCGCGAGGAAAGCGGAGCGCGCCGTCTCTCGCACAGAAATTTGCGGGTGCGCGAGCAGGCGGTACAAGGTCGGCCGCAGCGCATCGTAGCGACCCGCCTCGAGGAGAGCGTCGGCGGGCTTCGACGCGCGGATCATTGCCGTGATGCCGAGCATCAGCCCCTCGAGCGCTTTCCACTGCGACCCATGCTGCTGCGGCGGCACCCGAGGAGCAGTCGATCCCCAGGACGGCCCGCTCGCGCCCGCCGGGGTCGAGCGCGGTGGCGGTTCAGAGTGACGGCGCAAGAGCGGCCGAGGAAGCGCGTCGACACGACCGCCAACTGTTGGCGTCGCGTCCACCAAGTCCGGTCCTCCTGCTGCAGGGCCTCCCTCCAGCAGCAGCTCTTCCGAGAGGGAGAGGAGGTGAGCGTGGAAGAGGACCAACTGCGGGGGCGACAGTAGAGGAGGGAGGAGGCGGCCCACGGCGGCGGCCGCCGCCTTTCGGATCGCCGACCAGGCGTCGGTCAGCGCCGTGACGAGCAGGTGAGCGAGCAGAGCCAGGGAGCCAGGCGTGAGGGGCTCGGTGGCAAGCCAGCGGTACACGGCTCGAAACGCCTCCTCGCGAACGAGAGGCCGGTTCATGTCGGCAGCGCATGCACGAGATAATGAGAGGGGACTCCATTCGCGGTCGCCACTGAACGCTCCGCACCCCTCACCGCCTGCGCCCGACCTGCTCAGCAGCTCGGCTAGGGCCGAGATGCCGTCGCCCGCTGCGGCGCCGTCGATTCGGATGGCGTTGAGGTCGACAGGGCGCAGCGTTGCGTCGAGAGCCTGGAATGGGTCAGGAGGGAGAGCTCAGTGTCTCGACCGCAAGCGCAAGCCAGCGCGTCCGACCCTCATCTATCGCCAACAAGCAAGGCCTTCTTCGACGTGCATTGCTCGCGCGCATCTAGAGCTTCACCGATGGGTCGAAGACGGCGCCTCCGTGTGTGGACCACCCGAAGTCGAACGCCAGGAGGCGCGCGACGGCCAGAGGCGTCGCCTCCGCTGGCTGAGCTGCCGCGGCAGGGTCATGCAAAAGGCGGCGCACCACGGCGCGAGTCGCCTCAACGTCGGCCGAGGGGCTCGCTGGCAAGTCTCGCCGGCCGCGGACCGGACTGACGACGCGCGAGGAGGGGAGAGAGACGGCGAGCGCCGGCGCACGCGGGACCACCATTAAGCGTTACAACGTTGGCCGGCAGACGCATTTACAACAAAACTCCCCAACCCTGGGCACGGGCGCGCACGCCAGAAACAAAAACAAACTTTCGAGCGCCCACAAGTTCACGCTCCCTGTTTCTTTATGATCATTTGGCCATGTAAACATTCGACACCCCTGGCCAGAAAGGCACCTCCGCACTTGGACAGGGTGGCCCGCCCCAATCGACCCCTGAGCCCTGCCTGTTTGTTAAGTGCACGTATGTTGTAGGCTTGTTGTAGGCTTGTTCTCTATGTTGTTGGGAAAACAAGTTAAGTGACTCGTTCGCTTTCACCACCCACTGTGATTTTGTGAGCTCTGTGTCTTGATTTGCCAACAAACAACCTACACATTACACCCCCTACGACCGTGGCGCGTGGGTCGACAAGGGAAAAGAATTTTACAAGAAATCAAAGCTCCCTCGCACGACACTGGGCACGGGACGGCGCGCACTGGGAAAACAGAAACGCGGCGGCTGTAGGAGTTAGGCAGCTGCAGCCACCCACGGCCTATCGGCTATCGGCCGGCGACACCTAGGCGAGGGCGGCGGCGAGGGCGGCGGCGGCGAGGGCTGGGGCGAGTGTCAGATGGAGCCCAGCTGGGCTTTCCGACCTGCTCATCAACAGTGGGAAAAGAATTTAAACAAAACAACTCTCTCTCACAGCAGACAGGCTCGACACAGGTGCGGACTGGCGCGTTGATTGATTGATGGGAAGGCGAAACACAGTCCGACCAACGACTGGGACACCAACGCGGTATGGGTGGACGCAAGACGGGCGATGACGGTCACACAGGAGCGACACCAGAACCACAAAACAAGACACTCTCTGGCGCGTACCAGCGGGAAAAGAAACGGATGCCCCGCTCTCCCCACGCCGGGCGCTCGCCTCTCCCCCGCCGGATCAGCCCGCGCCGGGCGCTCGCCTCTCCGATACCCCGCGATGGAGCTGTCCGACCTGCTCATCAACCCGTCTAACTTGCAAACCGGTCGGATCTGGACGACCAAGAGCCGGCCTTCTGCGACAGACGGCCTGCTCTTCACCCTTGGGCTGCAGCAGCAGAGGCGCGGCGGCAACGCGTTCGTACAGGTGGCCTTCAACTGCCGCTGCGACACGGTCGCCGCCCTCGACGAGCACGGGCAGGTCATCTCCTTCGACCTGGAGCACAACCGCTACGCCGTGCTCAAGCGAGGCGGCTCTGCCGGCGTCGCCCTCGCCTTCTCCTCCACCCTCTCGCACGAACTCTTTGTGGCGCTCGAGGACGGGCTCGTCGAGGCGCTCGACGCCGCCAAGCGGGCGGCGGTGGGGCTCGAGACGTCTCGGGACGCCGAGTCGCAGGCGCAGTACCAGGCGCCGGGCGCCGTCCTCCGCGGCCACCGCGGGCCGGCCCACACGCTCGCCTGCCACCCGTCGGCGCCTCTACTGCTCGCCTGCTCGGCCGACCTCGTCTCTCTGTGGGAGAGCCGCGCGCTGCGCCGCGTGGGCACGCTGGCGGCGGGCTCGCCTCCGGGCGCGGCGCCGACGGAGCCCTTCGTGAGCGCCGCCCTCTCTCCGAGCGGAGGCCACGTCCTCACCTGCCTCCCTCACGCGGTGGTCGTCTGGCGCTCGGCCGACCTCGGCGAGACGGCGACGTACAAGCTGCCGCCCTCGCACGCGTCGGTGCCGCTGTGCTCGGTCACCGTCGACGGCAGCGGCTCGCACGCCGTCGGGGCGGGCGCAGGCGGCCTCCTCGCGCTGTGGTCGCTTCGCTCCCACCTGCTGCTCAAGCTGCTCGAGGTGCCGGGCGGCTCCGCCATCTCGCAGGCGGCCTGGCTCCCTGCGCCGAGGCAGGAGCGGCTGGCGCTCGTGTGCGCGGACGGCGCGCTCCGCTTCGTCGTCCCGTCCGCGGACGAGGTTGTCGGCACGCTGCGGCCGCGGGGGGGGCGCGGAGGCGGGTGCGGCTTCCGCAGCGTCGCTGCCGACCCGCTCGGCCGCGCCATCGCCGCCGTCTGCTCCGACGGGCGGATCGCCCTCTACTCGCTCGAGGGAGGGAGCGGTGGCGCGGGTGGCGGCGGCGTGGGCGGCGGCGGTGTGGGCAGCGCGTTGCGTCGTGAGCCGGAGTGGGCTCAGCGCGAGTGGGCTCAGCGCGACGGGTCACGGCGGGACGGGGAGCGGCGGGACGGGGAGCGGCGGGCACCAGAGCGGCGGGCACCAGAGCGGCGGCAGCGAGGGCAGCGCGAGCCGGTGCCGCGCCGGGCGGCGCC